CACCAACCAAAAACTACTGCGTAGAATTAATTGGAATTTTTCACACACAAGCCTTGCTATATGAGCTCTCAAAGCATATAAAAATTATACGGCTTAAATGTGAAGTTGGGTGCAAAAGAATACAATTAAATCCTCTGTCAGGAAAAAACGAAATGACTTTCCGAACAACCCTATAATTTTGTGGTAGTAGCTCATTGTTCGACGTTAAATCTTCATATCCTGAAATTTCAACTGAATATTTTTCTCTTATAATTGAAAAACTATCAAAACACTAAATTTAGGAGATACCTTATTAAGTCGTCGTACTTTTCTCATTACTTGATATTAAAATTAAATAGCACTTCAATATTTGACTCATTAATGAATAATTTTGTTTCCCGATAGAGTAACAGTATTTTTGTAGACACAATACTAAATACTTATGTATAAAAATTAATTAGGCAATACAAATTTTCTAATCCAAACTATCCTTAGCAACGCTGGACTGATAAAAATTTATAAAAAAATAATTCTTATCTGGAGACGCGTTGAGGAGTTTTACCAGGAAAAATAAAAAAAACACCACAAAAAAGTTTGAAATACATTTCAGCAACTGACACGTGTAACTTGAAAAAACAACGATTTATAATTCAAACGCGCAAAATTATGAGAAAAAAAAGTGCACCTAAAAAAATGCATTGGTCTACTGCTCACAGAAAGTCTCGTTAAAATAAGGATTTGTTTTTATAGTTACCCCCAAATAGAGAATTATGAAGCATTTAACACTACACCAGTTTTAGTTTTTCATATATACAAAAAAAACATAGCACACACGTCAGTTTTCGACCTGTTGCATAATTATTTTGACTGTTCCCAAGTATGAAAAAAAAGTAACAATATCCGTAAACTTTGACAATGCCAAAAGTCTTTGGGTGCAAGTTGAGATAAATAAATATATGCCTTCGTTTTGCAAAAATAGTCCTACAAATTGATCATAAAATTTTCCGAGTATGAAAACTATGAAAGAATGTGCATATGTAGGTTGTGTGCACATAGATGTATTAGTTTAGGGGTGCAGTTTGAGATAATCAAATATATTATCTTGTACACGCGCAAATCAATTTTGGTCTCGTTACATAATACACGCCCGTTATCAGCAGCAATTTGTATATATATACCAACTATTAAAATAATTTTCTCATACTGTCGCTGTTATGTGCCAATAGAAATAATTTCAGTTTGATTAAGAAATTGACAGAATAATACATGATCGTTTCAACTTCAAAATTTTACAAAAACATCAAGTGCATATTCTGCCTTTAATTTTATTACTTACGTAATTAGATTTCCGAACAAGGTATGTATTGAGAATGATTTCAATTACTGTCTCCTTTTTAAGATCAAAAATAGCTTATTCAATTTCACCGGGTCACTAATGAGCTTTCTGTTATGTAATGTTTCAAAAGGTTTAATTTTTAAAACGTACGTACTCTTGAAACAAGTTTGTGTTGTTTTATAATAAAGCTTTTAAGACGTTATAAAGAATATCAAAAAGAAGAGTGTGCTTTCGCCGGAGAATTTGCAAAATAAACACTTCTTCTCAAAGAAGGGAACAATCCTATACTAGAATTATACAGCGAAAGCCTAACTCATTTAGAGTGAACGATATTCGTACATTTCTAATTTTACCATATTTTTTTATAGGTTGCCTGTTTTTATACTGACTGTTGCCGTGATCCAGAAAAAAAAAATGAAGTCGATATTCAAAGTATTAATTGGTTTGGTTGTCGTAGTGGTTGCAGCATCGGAAAACGATGTCAGTGGACCCTCGGGCAGGGCGACATCCTGCATTTTAACGGGAAATTCTTTAGATCAACTTAACGAAATTAAATCCTCATGCAAGAACATCGTCGTGCAAAACCTCCGCGTCCCAGCTGGTAAATCTTTAGATTTAACAGGAATATCGGATACATCGATTACATTTAAAGGAAACATTTCGTTCGGATACGCAGAATGGAAGGGACCGTTGGTTTTGATTAGTGGCAGTAATGTAAATGTAACTGGTGAAAATGGACACGTTTTCGATGGTCAGGGTGCTAGATGGTGGGACAATCTCGGCTCTAACGGCGGTGTTCAGAAACCGAGATTATTCAAACTCCGATATTTGTACCAGGGAGTTGTGAACCATTTAAATTTTCTTAACTCACCACGCCATTGTTTAGCCATCCACAACTGCACAAATATAACCGTAAATGGTGTAGTTATGAATAATAAAGACGGAGATACCCAAGGAGGTCACAACACCGACGCAGTTAACGTGAAAGGTTCCGAAAACGTATTCATTAAGAACACTACTGTATACAATCAGGACGATTGTTTGGCCGTTAGATCCGGAAAAAACATTCATTTTGAACAGGCTTTCTGTTCTGGTGGTCATGGGATGTCGATTGGATCGGTCGGCAACAGGACAAATAATGTTGTTGAAGACGTTCACATCACCGATTCTGTCGTAGTGGATTCAGACAACGGAATTCGAATAAAAACGGTGTATAATGCTACCGGATTAGTTTCCGGTGTTACTTATAACAACATTACCATGAGAAATATAAGCAAGTTTGGAATCTTGATGCGAGGCGATTATTTGAACCAGCCGCGTCCGACCGGTAATCCTAGCAATGGCATTCCAATCCGTAACGTCACCGTAACAAACGTACGTGGCACGGTTCAAACAAAAGGTACCAATGTTTACATTCTGCTTGGCCAGGGTGTTGCNTCAATGATACTTTTTATAAGTATAAAAACCGCACATAAAAACCTACAGTCTACATATTCGCAAGCTGCTTCGCCTTGAAAACTAATTTTATGATTAATTATTTAGATATACAACAGTGTTGCGGAAGATTTTGGATATGATTTCAGATAAGCAAATAAAATTATTGTACGTACGAAAAACACCCTGAATGCTGAACATAAAAAAGAGCACGTCAATTATCAACCTGTAACACAATTATTTAAAATGTTCTAAGGCATGAAAATAATGTAAAAATGTCCATAAATTTGAATGGTGGCGGCAGTTTTTAGATACTTTAAAATAAAATTCGTTTTATCTATTAGAAAGAGCAGTCCTTCATGCATAAGTCGGTGTGTCCAGAAATTCCAGATAATACTCGTGGATGCGCCAAACCGGCCCGCCAAAATGTGACGTTTTTATAATTTACCGAAAGTAGGCGCCACTTTGGGGTACGATTCCGACGTTAATTCGAGCTTAATATCAAATCCGTTTTATTTATCAGAAAGAGCATTCCTTGATGCATAAGACCGTGTGTCCGGAAATTCCAGATTGTATTCCTGTAGGAGCCAAACCGGCCCGCTAAAATGTGACGTTTTTATAATTTACCGAAAGTAGGCGCCACTTTGGGGTACGATTCCAACGTGAATTCGCGTTTATTATAAAATTCTAATATACTCATCATACGTTCAAAAAACGCCCTGAATGCTGAACATAAAAAAGCGCACGTCAATTATCGACCTGTTACACAATTATTCAAAACTTTCCAAGGCATGAGGACAATGTAAAGATGTACATAGATTTAAATGGTGGCGGCAGTTTTTGGATACGGTGTGAGATAAGCTAATAATCTCATCATACGTACAAAAAACTCTCTGAATGCTGAACATAAAAAAGCGTACGTCAATTATCGACCTGTTACACAATTATTCAAAACTTTCCAAGGCATGAGGACAATGTGAAGATGTACATAGATTTAAGTGGTGGCGGCAGTTTTTGGATACGGTGTGAGATAAGCTAATAAACTCATCATACGTACAAAAAACTCTCTGAATGCTGAACATAAAAAAGCGTACGTCAATTATCGACTTGTTACACAATTATTCAAAACGTTCGAAGGCATGATAATAATGTAAAAATGTACGTAGATTTTATCCAATTAAATGATAAATTAATTATCGATAGTGATGCTTATAAATACGAAAGCTCTGCTACTGTTCACTTATAAACAATTAATTCATCATAATTTATTAATGTGATTTTTATATTTTCAGTTGCCGCAATCGCCCAATACAAAAATAAGTAATTAATTTAAGTAAGTACGTAAAACATTCATATTTGTTATTCAAAAATGAAATAATTTCAGCGTCAGTTATTGAAGAGCCTGGAAAACAATTGATCATAATTATGAAGTTATATTTAAAAGTGCTGATTGGATTAGCAGTAGCAGTTGTGACAGTTTTCACGCAAAATAATAATTGCATACTGACGGGAAATTCTATGGGCAATCTCAGCTCTATTCAGCAACAATGCACTGAGATTATAATAGAAAATTTCACATTGCCTGCAAATGAGACTTTATCGTTTAGAAAACTTAGGAACGGTACCACGATATCTTTCAGAGGACTTATAAGCTTCGAATACGTGGAATCGCCTGAAAATCTTATTGTAGTATCAGGGACAAATATTACTGTCATCGGAGAACCTGGACACCTTTTCAATTGCAGGGGCGAAAGGTGGTGGGACGGATTTGGAGTAAACAGTGGCAAACTGAAACCGTTATTTTTTCGTGCGAACAGCTTATCCTATTCGAATATCAGAGGATTGCGCGTTAAAAATACCCCGGCACGGGTCTTCGCTATCCAGAGCTGCCAACATGTCGTGTTTTCAGACATCATAGTAGATAATTCGGACGGGGATGTAAAAGGTGGACATAACACTGACGGGTTTGATTTAAACGAAAATAATAATATAACAATTGAATACAGTCAAATCTTTAATCAAGACGATTGTATGGCGATCAATTCGGGTTCGAATTGCTATTTCTATCACAATCACTGTTCCGGTGGTCACGGTATATCGATTGGATCCATTGGTAATCGTAGATCCAACGTGGTCCAAAACATCCACGTTAAAAATTGCACCGTGGTAAATTCGGAAAATGGAGTTAGAATAAAAACTATTGTTAACGCAACAGGTCAAGTGCTTGACATCACTTACGAAGATATAACATTAGCGAATATTACTAACTATGGTGTACTGGTACGAGGTGACTATCTAAATACAGGCCCAACGGGACATCCTTCAAATGGAGTCGTTATTAGAAATCTAACACTTACCAACGTTCACGGCTGGGTACAAGAAAATGCTGTTAACGTCTTCGTACTTCTTGGAGACGGCGTAGCTTCCAACTGGAAATGGACCAACGTCAATGTAACAGGCGGTCATCATGCGAACGTCAGTTGTAGTGGAGTCCCACCGAATTCGGGAGTAGTCTGCTAATCAAAACCAAAAATTATTTTACACTTACATAAAAGTAGAAAATAAATGTTTTCTAAAAATTTACCATATTCCCAATTACCATCTACGTGTCTGCTGTTTTTATATTTATATGAATTAGGTTTGTAACATTGTAGCTGGTACATAATAAATAAAAAAAGGATAAATAAACATGACGAATTTAGCAACATATTAACCACAATAAATATTTTATATTCAAAAAGTTCTTCAAATGTAATAAGGGATTACTTCACTATGAAGCGTTTGTAAATAAAACGATTGAGGGGTACACGTATGACAGCTTCCAAATCGAGCCCCTATACAGACAGTTCGGCCCTGCATAACATCGTATTAATATTGGCTATGGCGCGCTGATGAGATCTAATATAATTTCCTTTTCAAGAGATGGTGAATCGGAAATATAAGGTAGCAATAAAATGTGCTAGGAGTTGGCGGAAAGGGTAATCATCCTTTAACCCTTTAACGTCACTTGAAACCTTCCGATGACGCTACCGATCTAACCATTATATGCCTCCAATCTACTTTCTACTATTCCTAATAAAAAACATCAAGTTGATATTAAATATGTATATGTTTTCACCATCGCTACCAACTCTAGTTTTAAATTTGTTCGTAATTCTTTTTTGGTAACTCTTTTTCTTACGTTGCAAACCAATTGCAGGGAGAAAATGAAAAAAGAAAATTTATCTGACGACATGCTGTATAGTATCAGGACAAAATCTAAAAAAAACACCATAAAAATTTTCCAAGCAGACACGTGTAGCATGAAAAAAGACAAACGGGAAACGATGGAAAAACAAAAAACACAATACAATTAGAATATGTTTTTCACGAAATACGAAAACAAAGGACACAAAAAAGACGACTTAGCACACTCACAGATAGTCTAATAAATTACGAAGAATTCAGTGATCACAAGGACAATTCAGCCTGNATTTACAATTTATCCCACTATCCCGTTGCTTAAGACATGTCAAAATTGAGATTATTACAAGTAACCTAATAAATTCTACTATTTCTACAGCAAATTCAGTCATTTACAATCGATAATTCTAATTTTTATGTTGTAATAAAAATCTAGTTTTCTCCGTGTGAACATCAACAGTATTTTTGAAAAACACGGTAAGTGGTGTACTTTTCCATTGAGACGACAGACGAGTAACAAAAGTATCATTTAAATTAAACAGTACTGTTAAATGCATACTTAATATGTATAAAAATTAATTAGGTAAAAGCCACAAGGCCACATACACTTAATGAATTTTTATAATACATACGTTTCTATCTTTAAGTAGCCATGCTGCTGTGATAACAATATATGTATAAGAAAAGAAAATTTATCAATTATCGACTTGTTACACAATTATTCAAAACGTTCCAAGGCATGATAATAATGTAAAAATGTACGTAGATTTTATCCATTTAAATGATAAATTAATTATCGATAGTGATGCTTATAAATACGAAAGCTCTGCTACTGTTCACTTATAAACAATTAATTCATCATAATTTATTAATGTGATTTTTATATTTTCAGTTGCCGCAATCGCCCAATACAAAAATAAGTAATNTATATGTATAAGAAAAGAAAATTTATCTGACGACATGCTGTATAGTATCAGGACAAAATCTAAAAAAAACACCATAAAAATTTTCCAAGCAGACACGTGTAGCATGAAAAAAGACAAACGGGAAACGATGGAAAAACAAAAAACACAATACAATTAGAATATGTTTTTCACGAAATACGAAAACAAAGGACACAAAAAAGACGACTTAGCACACTCACAGATAGTCTAATAAATTACGAAGAATTCAGTGATCACAAGGACAATTCAGCGTGATTTTATATAAATCAATGATACTTTTTATAAGTATAAAAACCGCACATAAAAACCTGAAGTTACATGATTCCAGACGTCACAAAAGCATGAACACTATGAAAAAAATATATAAACAATTTCCAGGTGCGGTATAAGATAAACATAAAACAATTTTTTATAAAAACCGGCGAAAAAATTGAACATTAAATAGCCTAGTGTAATTTTCGACCTGTTAAAGAATTATTCTAAACGGTCTAATGCATGACAACTATCTAGAAATATGTAGATTTCAATGGTGCATCAGTCTTTGGGTGTGATTTAAAAAATTTAAAACAAACACTATCTTATTTATAAAAGTCACCAAAAAGTTGAACCTAAAAATGCCCATGTTAGTATACCACCTATACAAACACACTAACGCAACTATATATGCACAAATGTACGCAGATTTCTTGATTGCATTAGTTTATGGGTACGGGGGGACCTGTTACACAATTATTCTAAACGTTACAATGTACGAAAACGATGTAAAAATGTCCGTAGATTCAGTGGCGGCGGCAGTTTTTAGATACGGTTTCACATAAGCGAATAAAATCATCATACGTTCAAAAAGCGCCCTGAATGCTGAACATAAAAAAGCGCACGTCGATTTTAGACCTGTTACACAATTATTCTAAACGTTATAATGTACGAAAACTATGTAAAAACGTCCGTAGATTTCAGTAGTGGCGGAAGTTTTCGGATACGGTGTCAGATAAACTAATAAAATCATCATACGTTCAAAAGCGCTCTGTATGCTGAACATGAAAAAGCGCACGTCGATTTTCGACCTGTAACACAATTATTCTAAACGTTACAATGTACGAAAACTTTGTAAAAATGTCCGTAGATTTCAGTGGTGGCGGCAGTTTTCGGATACGGTGTGAGATAAGCTAATAAAATCATCATACGTTCAAAAGCGCTCTGTATGCTGAACATAAAAAAGCGCACGTAAATTTTCGATCTGTTACGCAATTATTCTAAACGTTACAATATACGAAAACTATGTAAAAATGTCCGTAGATTTCAGTGGTGGCGGCAGTTTTCGATACGGTTTCACATAAGCGAATAATATCATCATACGTTCAAAAAGCGCTCTGTATGCTGAACATAAAAAAGCGCACGTAAATTTTCGACTTGTAACACAATTATTCTAAACGTTATAATGTACGAAAACTATGTGAAAATGTCCGTAGATTTCAGTGGTGGCGGCAGTTTTCGGATACGGTGTGAGATAAGCTAATAAAATCATCATACGTTCAAAAGCGCTCTGTATGCTGAACATAAAAAAGCGCACGTAAATTTTCGACCTGTAACACAATTATTCTAAACGTTACAATGTATGAAAACTATGTAAAAATGCCCGTAGATTTCAGTGGTGGCGGCAGTTTTTGGATACGGTGTGAAATAAATTAATAAAATCATCATACGTTCAAAAAGCGCCCTGAATGCTGAACATAAAAAGCGCACGTAAATTTTCGATCTGTTACGCAATTATTCTAAACGTTACAATGTACGAAAACTATGTAAAAATGTCCGTAGATTTCAGTGGTGGCAGCAGTTTTGGGATACGGTTTCACATAAGCGAATAAAATCATCATACGTTCAAAAAGCGCCCTGAATGCTGAACATAAAAAGCGCACGTCAATTACCGACATGTTATACAATTATTCTAAACGTTACAATGTACGAAAACTATGTAAAAATGTCGGCAGATTTCAGGTACGGTTTGATATATGCCAGTGTAAGTATGTTACATGTAAAAAACACTTGTAACTAAGACTACCTTCTAAGAACGTCCTAAAAGGTAGACATAAAGACGCGCACGTCAATTTTGGACTTGTTACACTATTATTATAAACGTTCTAATGTACGAAAACTTGTATAAATATTAGTAGATTTCGGTGGTTCCATCAGTTTTTAGGTGCGGGTTGATATAAACTGATCTAAGTACATATGCTTTTAAAGTTGCATTTCTAAAATATTATCAAATTTTGTTGGGCGGGCAATGAATTTTGCAGTGGCAGTAGCTCCTTACCTACGCCTGTGACCATGGATCCATAAGCTGTGTAAAATTTATTTATCTCAAAGATAAATTATATATCGATAATGATGTTTATAAATTGACAAGTTCTGCACCTAGGCAATAATTATCAATTAATCCTTCATAATCCGATATTGTGACTTTCATTGTCCTATTTGCGACAGTAATCTGTTTAATTGAAGCATAAGTTTCGGTAGATTTACTAAATACTATTTTCTGATAATAGCTACTAAATTATTTTGTATAATTACTTTTACGAAGAACAGATTCGAAGGTAAGTTCTTTTTTTAATGAACCATCTGTCCATCAATATTCTTCGGTGACGAAATCGTGAAACATTTTTGAAATACAGTTAAAATGTTTCACAGTTTAATCACTGGAGTTCTCTATAAAAATATACGTTAAGATAGATACAGGCCTAGCTGGGGGGTTCCTATAATTAACTGTTTACCGCTTAGCACTTGTACTGAACTATGTCCGCAAAGAGGTTTGTATTTGCTTCACTAAAAAAAGATATAATTTCAGCATCCTTATTTAACATTGCGACAAATAGTTGAATACCAATATGAAGTATTATGTGGCAGTGCTGATTGGGGTAGCAACAGTAATTGTACCAGTTTTCACGCAAGATTTGAACGAGGACGCCGTTAACAACTGCACTTTGACGGGTGGTTCGTTGAACAACCTGAACTCGATACAGCAACGATGCACTTCCATCACAATACAAGACTTGACGGTGCCTGCAGGTCAAACTTTATCGTTAACGGCACTCAAAGCTGGTAGTACAGTAACATTCAACGGACTCATAAGATTTGGATACGCAGAATGGACAGGAGATCTTATTGTAGTTTCAGGGACAAATATTACTATTATCGGAGGGTCTGGGCACCTTTTCGATTGCCATGGTGAAAGATGGTGGGACGGATTAGGTGCAAACAATGGGAAATTAAAACCGACATTGTTTCAAACGAATAACTTATTATATTCGAATGTCAGAGGGTTGCGCATTAAAAATACCCCGGCACGCTGTTTCGCCATTCAATCTTCTCAACATGTTGTGTTTTCGAATATCATAATAGATAATTTGGACGGCAATAGTAACGGCGGGCACAACACCGACGGATTTGATTTGAACGAAAATAATGATATAACGATTCAATACAGTCAAATTGTTAATCAGGACGATTGTTTTGCGATAAATTCGGGTACAAATTGTTATTTCTATCACAATCACTGTTCCGGTGGTCACGGTATATCGATTGGTTCCGTTGGCGACCGCAGAAGCAACGTGGTCCGAAACGTTCACGTTAGAAATTGCACTGTTGTAAATTCAGAAAACGGAATTCGAATAAAAACCATTGCTAACGCAACTGGCCAGGTACTTGACATCACCTACGAGGATGTAACAATGCAAAATATTACTAACTACGGTATAGTAGTACGAGGCGACTACAGAAATAGCGGGCCCACCGGACATCCTACAGGTGGATTCAGTATCAAAAATTTAACGCTTAGTAATATTCAGGGCTGGGTACAAAGAACTGCCATCAACGTAATGGTACTCCTTGCAGGAGGTGTAGCTTCGGAATGGAGATGGACAAGGGTCAATGTAACAGGCAGCAGATTTGCTCATATCAACAACTGTACTGGGGTGCCACCAAATTCCGGAGTTGAATGTTAAACGATACTAAAAATGATTGTTCACTTGTAGAAAACTAGCAAATAAATATTTTGTAACTAATCTTCATGTTTCAAAACACGATACGTATGTATGTGTGACAGTTTCAACAAATCTTCATCATCATCATAAGGTCGTCAGTCCTAAGACTGGTTGGACACGTACCTCCACTCTTTCCTATCCTGAGCTAAACTTCGCATTTCCCTAAAACTAGAACAGCCCACATCCTTAACTATTTGCGAAGAGTAATCCAATCTAGGTCTACCTCTACCCCTCCTAACTCCCGTTTCTGCCTCTAATATGTCTCTGACTAGACCTTCATGCCTGAGAAGGTGTTGTACCAACCTATCTCGCCTATTTTTTATTGACTTCCGTAGAGTCCTCTGTTCTGCTATTCTTTCCAATACCTCTTCATTTCTAACCTTTTCTACCCACGATATCCTCATCATCCGCCTATAACACCACATTTCGAACGCTTCTTACCTTTTCTAAAAAGATTTCAACAGATCTTAGTTGAAAACAAATAAAATGCAGTGTAGTTTCACTCATTTGTTTATTTTGAACACTCGACAATATCGTTCCGACCGAATGAGATATTTCATTAAAAATCAGCAATTGTTATACATTCGAGGTATAAATAAACAATTGTAAAAAAGTCAGAGGGTCTGTATTCGGGTGAATAGTTAGTTGCATACACATACACCTTAAAAATGTGCCAGAAATTTAAATTTAATCGAAGGTCAACAATCTTAATCAAACTATGTTGTTCAGCTACCACAATGCAAAATAATTAAAAATGCATGTAATATCTACCGAGAAACGTAAATACGTTCTGAAAATTAACTAGAATATAAAAACGTGCTTAGTATTAATGTATGCGCATAAGAGATTGCCTGAAAAAATAAATGCATGACTATCATTGTCCATTTATGTCTAAAACAGTGAATTAAGCAAATCGTCCACAATTCTACCTTGCCAATCGTTAGTGCGTTTGTGTTATTGTAAATTAAAGAAAATGAAATCGTTTATAATATATTTGCTGGTTTCACTTTTACAGCAACAAGTTGCCTTAGCTGGTATGTAAATTTCATAAACACGTTTAGCTTTCTATGTGCTTGTTTAAAGAATCTTTAATAACTTTGCGAGCCATTAAAATTTTTGCATACTTCTTGTCTAGCTTATTATAATCCTTAATATGTCATAAAGTATTTCTTGTATGACTGTTTAAAGTTGATTATTCATTAAAAAAAAAAACAGGTGAGTTGTGTGCAAACCTAGTTTCTAAAAAGAACTGGGGAGCTAGAACGCCTTCACAGGTAGACTACGCATTAATTCCAATCAAGTTTGTCATTGTCCATCATACTGTAACAACGGAATGCAATTCGGATGCGTCTTGCAAGGAGACTCTACAATCTATTCAAAATTATCACATGGACGAGCTAGATTATTATGATATCGGTTACAAGTAAGCGAGAAAAATGAAAATTTTATTTATTTCATTATAATCAGCTTATAATGTAGAATATATTTACAATTAGTTTTCTAATCGGTGGAAATGGGAAAGTGTACGAAGGGACAGGTTGGCATAAAGTTGGAGCGCATGCAGTTGGCTATAATTCAAGATCTCTGGGGCTCGCATTCATAGGCGATTTTAGAGGTAGGTTTTTTTTTTACAATACTGTTTTGATAATTGCATCAAAAGGTTCAAGAATATATGCTGAGTTCAGTGTAGGCAGTCACTTTAGGCTTTACAAATTAAGGGTGCACATCAATTTCAGACTACTTATACAATTATTTTGACGACATTAGTAGGCGAAAACACTGTAAAAATATACGTACATTTCGATGGTGATAGCAGTTTCCTTCAGTGTTTTGAGAAAAACTAGTGCAATAACTATACGTACACAAAAACCCTAAAAGCTGAACATAAAAACGCGCACAATTTTCGACCTGTTACACAATTATTATAAATCTTCCAAGTAATGAGAACTATGTAAAAATGTACGTAGATTTTAGTGGTGGAGACAGTTCTTGGATACGGTTTCACTTAAACGAATAAAATCATCATACGTACGAAAAACGCCCTGAATGCTGAACATAAAAAAGCGCACGTCAATTTTCGACCTCTTACAGCATTATTTTAAACGTTCCAAGGCATGAAAACTATGTAAAAATGTACGTAGATTTCAGTGGTGGAGGCAGTTTTTGGATACGGTTTCACTTAAACTAATAAAATCATCATACGTACGAAAAACGCCCTGAATGCTGAACATAAAAAAGCGCACGTCAATTTTCGACCTGTTACACAATTATTTAAAACGTTCCAAGGCATGAAAACTATGTAAAAATGTACGTAGATTTCAGTGGTGGAGGCAGTTTTTGGATACGGTTTCACTTAAACGAATAAAATCATCATACGTACGAAAAACGCTCTGAACACTGAACATAAAAAAGCGCACGTCAATTTTCGAGTTGTTACAGAATTATTTAAAACGTTCCAAGGCATGAAAACTATGTAAAAATGTACGTAGTTTTCAGTGGTGGCGACAGTTTTTTGACACGGTTTCACTTAAACGAATAAAATCATCATACGTACGAGAAACGCCCTGAATGCTGAACATAAAAACGCGCACGTCAATTTTCGACCTGTTACACAATTATTTAACACGTTCAAAGGCATGGTAATATATGTAAAAATGTACGTAGATTTCAGTGGTGGAGGCAGTTTTTGGATACGGTTTCACTTAAACGAATAAAATCATCATACGTACGAAAAATGCTCTGAACACTGAACATAAAAAAGCGCACGTCAATTTTTGAGTTGTTACAGAATTATTTAAAACGTTCCAAGGCATGAAAACTATGTAAAAATGTACGTAGTTTTCAGTGGTGGCGGCAGTTTTTGGACACGGTTTCACTTAAACGAATAAAATCATCATACGTACGAAAAACGCCCTGAATGCTGAACATAAAAACGCGCACGTCAATTTTCGACCTGTTACACAATTATTTAACACGTTCAAAGGCATGGTAATAATGTAAAAATGTACCTAGATTTAAGTGGTGGCGGCAGTTTTTGGATACGGTTTCACATAAGCGAATAAAATCAACATACGTACGAAAAACGCCCTGAACACTGAACATAAAAAAGCGCACGTCAATTTTTGACCTATTACACAATTAGTTAAACGTTCTAAAGCATGAAAACTACGTGCAGGTTAGTCTATACATTCTCAGGGATGAAAGATTTGCAATAGCTTGCAGGAACTCGTATTTACAGATTATTTTAAAGATAGGAATTTTGTTAACAATATAGTGAATTTATGAGTGCAATTTTCAATAATGTTTATATAATCGATTGCTGATTGATGTACGTGAAATTCTAGATAAATTGCCCACTTCTGCTCAGCTGACGACAGCAAAGGATTTCTTAAAATGCGCTGTTGGTTTAGGAGAGCTAAGTGAAGACTACAAGTTACTAGGTGCCAAGCAGGTTATAGCAACAGTCAGCCCAGGGAAAAAACTTTATGAAGAAATCAAGAAATGGGAACATTATACAAATAAAGTTTAAAGTTTAATAATATGCATCGTACGATAAAATATTGCAGTTGTACTTGCCACCATGGATACACAAGCTGTGTAATGTTTACATGTATATATAAGTAGCCAAATTTTGTTAATGGGTAATAATAAAAATAATCAATTGATCCTGAGTATTCTGTTATCGTGGTTTTTATTATATCTTTACTTTCTCAGTAATCCACTTGTAAACATTTTACATTTAATAAAGTAAATGGAAAGATTAGTTTTGGTAGATATCCTTACTAAATCATACTTTCTGACAATCAGTTTAAAGAACTTGGTGAACAATTTTATGATTATTTAGACGAAAAACAGATTCGATGGTAAGATTTATTGTTACATAACTATCTTACGCATATTTATTTAATTGATAAATTGAACGAATACTTTACATTTTACTAGTTGTAGTGAATATCGCGTCGCCTAAAGAAAAAACTAACAATCAATTTAAGTAAGTACAAAGAATATAAATAACTGCAGTCCAAACAATAATTTAGTGTCATTATGTAGTGTTATTTCAAACTGAAGATTGCTTTAGCAGCAGTAATTGTAATTGTAGTTGTAATAATATGTACGAAAAAGTTTCACGCCAAATTCGGGTGAAGATGAATGCACACTGTCGTGCAATTCCCAAAAACAATTTGGAATCTATGCAGCAAGAATGCACTGAGATTATTATAAAAGATCTAACATTTAAAACTTGAACATCTACTGATAAATTCGTTATTAAAAATTTTTACGCTACTTTTCCAAAAAAGAAAATACTACAAACGGCACAGTGAGCGCCATCTGTAGCACGATGCTACATTTTAGGATTACGTATTTTTCAACAAGGTCCACTTGTGTGGATATCTACTTGCTGAAAACGAATCCTGGCGTAGCCAACCTCAACGTGATTGATGAGATCCAAAAAGATCGAAATCGCGATCCGCGTCTGGCAGTTTCGACAGAATACAGACCACTTCGAATTAAATTATTTTATTCTACTTTTCTATGAAATACTGGATAGTAACGCCAATTGATATCACCACTAGTGTCCCTCCAAACTCAGGAGTTGTTTGTTAGTCAATATATGTGTGTATATAGAACCATATACCTATACTGTAGTTTTGAATTACGTGCAAGTTGTCGTGTTGATACGAGCAGTCGAGTGAGAAAAAGATAATAATCTCAATTGTATCTAAAACTTTTGACACGTTTTAGTACATGCTAAACATTTAGTCAAAAAATTGGGACTTCATTTTCGGCAGCTTTCGTAACTTAAATTTTCGGATGCATTAAAAATAAATTTTGAATCTTGTTTTCAAGATTTTGATGCAGTTTCAGATGATTCGAATAAACTGTGAGGTTGGGGGTAGGATTAGAGATGTTAACGGGTAGTAGTTCGTAGTTTAAGAGACCCCTAGTCAAGATCAATCAATATAATTTATTATTTTAAAGAAGCCAAGTACATCCAATTGAAAAAAATCCACGTGTAATGTTTTTTATGTGTTTTTTGCAAGTTTGATACATTTTTGAAAATAGCATTGTTAACAGTTATCTAAACAAATCAGTTTTTAAATATTTTACGTAAACGTTAATCAATAAACACTTATGTGTGAAAGATAAAAATGTCCTTCAGATATATCAATACGTATAGTAAAAGAGCGAGTGAAGTTTGTTCATTTCTAATTTGACTACAACATCCTTTATGGGCTGACGGTTTTTATACTGACTGTTGACGTGTCTCATAAATAATGAAGTTGATATTCAAAATATTAATTGGTTTGAGTGCGGTGGTGATTGAAGCATTGGAAATCACATCCGGGAAAGTATTCAGCCGGCCCACCGGTAGGGCGACATCGTGCAATTTAACGGGAAATTCCATAGACGAACTTAACGCAATCAAATCCTCTTGCAAGAATATCGTCATAGAAAACCTCCGCGTTCCAGCTGGTAAAACTTTAGATTTAACAGGAATATCGGATACATCGATTACATTTAGAGGAAACATTTCGTTCGGATACGCAGAATGGAAGGGGCCGTTGGTTTTGATTAGTGGCAGTAATGTAAATATAACAGGTGAAAGAGGACACGTGTTCGATGGTCAGGGTGCTAGATGGTGGGACACCCTCGGTGGTAATGGTGGCGTTCGAAAACCAAGATTTTTCAAAATCCGATATTTGTACAACGGAGTTGTGAACCATTTACATTTTCTTAATTCACCACGCCATTGTTTCGCCATCCACAACTGCACCAATATAACGGTAAATAATGTAGTTATGAACACGAAAGACGGAGATACCCAAGGAGGTCACAACACCGATGCAATTAACGTGAAAGGTTCCGAAAACGTATTCATCAGCGACACTATTGTATACAATCAAGACGATTGTTTGGCCGTTAGATCCGGAAAAAACATCCATTTCAAAAAAGCTTTCTGTTCTGGTGGTCATGGGATGTCGATTGGATCGGTCGGCAACAGGACAAATAACGTTGTTGAAGACGTTTACATCACCGATTCTATTGTGGTGGACTCCGAGAACGGAGTTAGAATAAAAACGGTAGTCAATGCGACTGGATTAGTTTCCGGTGTTACTTATAACAACATTACCATGAGGAATATAACCGACTTTGGAATTTTGATGCGAGGCGATTATATGAATATGCCGGGTCCTACAGGCACTCCCGGCAATGGCGTTCCAATCCTTAACGTTACCATAACAAACGTACGTGGCACAGTTCAACCGAACGGGACCAATATTTACATTCTGCTTGGCCAGGGTGTTGCCCAGAATTGGTATTGGAACGATATAGACATTTCGGGTGGAACCAGAAGAAGAGTATGTCAAGGAATACCTCCAAATTCCGGTGCTTTTTGTGCATAAGAAAAATTATTTACTTTCAATTGTATCTTCTTCGTATACACATATATATATGTCTAAATTGCGCACTATCCTGTTTGTCATGAAATATGAATAAAATAAATAAATTACCCTACTCTGTACATCATTTAACTATACAACACCTCTGTATATTTCTACATTAATCTTTGATTGACTAATACCGAGCTTCTAAAAGCTATTTAAATATTAGATAAAGGTAATTGATTTTTCAAAATTTGCGATCCTGAAATCCTAAAAACTGATGATAGTAGCTACTATATCCTTTTCTATCACTTTTACAAAGAACAGATTCGACGGTAGCATTTTTTTGTTAAATAACTTTCTGCCCTACATTCTTCGGTGATGAAATTCTGATACATTTTTGAAAAACCAAAATTTTTTCATAATTTTATCAATACAATTCTGTATGTATAAATTCATTAAAGTAGATAAAAGATTAGCTACCAGAAACATATGCAGGGCTCCATTAATGTAACTTTTTCCATTTTATATTGTACAAGTCTAATGAATATAAATCACTTTTTACCTTCTAGTACCTATTTTGAACAACACCACCGTCCAAAACAAAAATTCAGTTCAAGTAAGTACGCAAGAGGTTTAATTGTTTGCTTCACTAAAAAAAGTATAATTTCAGCGCCCTTGTTTTAAATTCCAACAAACAATTCAATACCATTATGAAGTTGTATTTAAAAGTGTTGATTGGATTAGCAGTAGCAGTTGTGACAGTTTTCACGCAAAATAATAACTGCATACTGACGGGAAATTCCTTGGGCAATCTCACCTCTATTCAGCAACAATGCACTGAGATTGTAATAGAAAATTTCACAGTGCCTGCAAATCAGAGTTTATCGTTAAGAAATCTTAGGAATGGTACAACAGTATCTTTCAGAGGACTTATAAGCTTCGGATATGCAGAATCGCTTGGAAATCTTATTGTAGTCTCAGGCACAAATATTACTGTCATAGGAGAACCTGGACACCTTTTCAATTGCAGAGGTGAAAGGTGGTGGGACGGATTTGCGGACAACAACGGCAAATTGAAACCGTTATTCTTTCTGGCAATCAACCTACGGTATTCAAGTGTCAGTGGATTGCGCATTAAAAACACCCCGCAGCGGGTCATCGCTATCCAGTCTTCCCAACAAGTAGTGTTTTCGAACATCACAATAGATAATTTCGAAGGAGATAGAAACGGCGCACATACCACTATCGGATTTGATTTGAACGAATCTAGTGATATAACCATTCAGGGTAGTCAAATTGTTAATCAAGACGATTGTATAGCGATCAATTCAGGTACAAATTCTTACTTTTATGACAATCACTGTCGGGGAGGTCGGGGTATATCGATTGGTCCCCTTGGTAATCGCAGCAGCAACGTGGTCCGAAATGTTCACGTAAGAGGCTGCACTGTTGTAAATTCAGCAGACGGAATTCGAATAAGGACCTTTGCTAACACAACTGGGCAGGTGCTTGACATCACTTACGAGAATATACAATTCCAAAATATTTTTGATTATGGAATAGTAGTACGAGGGGACTTAAGAGGTAACAGGCCCACCGGAAATGCTACAGAAGGATTCACTATTAGAAATTTTACGATTAGTAATGTTCAAGGCTGGGTACGACCAAGTGCCATCAGCGTCTTTGTACTCCTTGCAGAAGGTGTAGCATCCAATTGGAGATGGTCAAGGGTCAATCTGACAGGCACCAGAAATATCAACAGCTGTACTGGAGTCCCACCAAATTCAGGAGTTCAATGTTAAACGATAGTAAAATTTAATATACACTTCAAGAATAACAGTAAATACATATTTTGTAATTAATTCTCATGTTCAAATCGCAATCTATGTATCTTCAATTGAACTTGTTTGAAATCAAATAAAATATAATGTAAAAATATATGCGTCCTGAATGTTGAACATAAAAGAGCGCACGTCAATTTTCGACTTGTTCTACAATTATTTAAAACATTCCAAGGCATGAAAACTATGTAAAAATTAACGTAGATTCTAGTAGTGACGCCAGTTTTTTGGTAGGGTTTCAGATAAGCCAATAAAATCATCATACGTACGAAAAACGCCCTAAAACCAAGACATAAAAACGCGCACGTCAATTTTCGACCTGTTACACAATCATTTAAACCGCTCGAAGGCATGATAGTAATTTAAAAATGTACGTAGATTCCAGTGGTGGCGGCAGTTTTTGGATATGGTTTCAGATAAGCTAATAACATCATCATACGTACGAAAAACGCCCTAAAACCAGGACATAAAAACGCGCACGTCAATTTTCGACCTGTTACACAATTATTTAAAACGTTCCAAGGCATGATATTAATGTAAAAATGAACGTAGATTTCGGTGGTGGCAGCAGTTTTTGGATACGGTTTCAGATAAGCCAATAAAATCATCATACGTACGATATACGCCCTAAAACCAGGACATAAAAACGCGCACGTCAATTTTCGACCTGTTACACAATTATTTAAAACGTTCCAAGGCATGATATTAATGTAAAAATGAACGTAGATTTCGGTGGTGGCAGCAGTTTTTGGATACGGTTTCAGATAAGCCAATAAAATCATCATACGTACGATATACGCCCTAAAACCAGGACATAAAAACGCGCACGTCAATTTTCGACCTGTTACACAATTATTTAAACCGTTCCAAGGCATGATATTAATGTAAAAATGAACGTAGATTTCGGTGGTGGCAGCAGTTTTTGGATACGGTTTCAGATAAGCCAATAAAATCATCATACGTACGATATACGCCCTAAAACCAGGACATAAAAACGCGCACGTCAATTTTCGACCTGTTACACAATTATTTAAACCGTTCCAAGGCATGATATTAATGTAAAAATGAACGTAGATTTCGGTGGTGGCAGCAGTTTTTGGATACGGTTTCAGATAAGCCAATAAAATCATCATACGTACGATATACGCCCTAAAACCAGGACATAAAAACGCGCACGTCAATTTTCGACCTGTTACACAATTATTTAAACCGCTCTAAGGCATGATATTAATGTAAAAATGAACGTAGATTCCAGTGGTGGCGGCAGTTTTTCGATAGGGTTTCAGACCATTCAATAAAATCATCAAACGTACGAAAAACGCCCGAAAAGCAGGACATAAAAACGCGCACGTCAATTTTCGACCTGTTACACAATTATTTAAACCGCCCTAAGGCATGATATTAATGTAAAAATGTACGTAGATTCCAGTGGTGGCGGCAGTTTTTCGATAGGGTTTCAGACCATTCAATAAAATCATCAAACGTACGAAAAACGCCCTAAAACCAGGACATAAAAACGCGCACGTCAATTTTCGACCTGTTACACAATTATTTAAAACGTTCCAAGGCATGATATTAATGTAAAAATGAACGTAGATTTCGGTGGTGGCAGCAGTTTTTGGATACGGTTTCAGATAAGTCAATAAAATCATCATACGTACGATATACGCCCTAAAACCAGGACATAAAAACGCGCACGTCAATTTTCGACCTGTTACACAGTTATTTAAAACGTATCAAGGCATGATAATAAAGTAAAAATGTACGTAGATTCCAGTGGTGGCGGCAGTTTTTGGATACGGTTTCAGATAAGCCATTAAAATCATCATACGTACGAAAAACGCCCTAAAACCAGGACATAAAAGCGCGCACGTCAATTTTCGACCTGTTACACAATTATTTAAACCGCTCTAAGGAATGATATTAATGTAAAAATGAACGTAGATTCCAGTGGTGGCGGCAGTTTTTGGATAGGGTTTCAGACAAGTCAATAAAATCATCAAACGTACGAAAAACGCCCTAAAACCAAAACGCGCACGTCAATTTTCGACCTGTTACACAATTATTTAAACCGCTCTAAGGCATGATAATAATGTAAAAATGGACGTAGATTCCAGTGGTGGCGGCAGTTTTTGGATACGGTTTCAGATAAGCCAATAAAATCATCAAACGTACGAAAAACGCCCGAAAAGCAGGACATAAAAACGCGCACGTCAATTTTCGACCTGTTACACAATTATTTAAACCGCTCTAAGGCATGATATTAACGTATAAATGAACGTAGATTTCAGTGGTGGCGGCAGTTTTTGGATAGGGTTTCAGACAAGTCAATAAAATCATCAAACGTACAAAAAACGCTCGAAAAGCAGGACATAAAAACGCGCACATTAATTTTCGACCTGTTACACAATTATTTAAAACGTATCAAGGCATGGTAATAATGTAAAAATGTACGTAGATTCCAGTGGTGGCGGCAGTTTTTGGATACGGTTTCAGATAAGTCAATAAAATCATCAAACGTACGAAAAACGCCCGAAAAGCAGGACATAAAAACGTGCACGTCAATTATCGACTTATTTCACAGTTATTCTTGACGTTATGAACACGATTTACAAGTGAACGTAAATTTGTGTCGATAAAAGTTTGCTATACTATTATCAACCCTAGTTTTAATCTCGTTTCTAATTTTGCTGTAGCAGTTCATTTGTTTGGAAATTAAACCAACTCCTATACAAAAATTTTCCATTACATAATCTTTCCCTTTGTTCAACAATCAATATCGACTCTAATTTAAGAGAATACCTTAAATGGTTAAGATTTTCTTTCGAAAATTCGGATAAAAATTCTTCTGACGTATATCGGTACTTACAGTAAAATCTTGTTGAGATTACATTAGTATCATGTTTACTGAACCCCCACGTGCAATGGTTTTTTACAGTTTGATACATTTTCGGCGACAGCGCTGTTGACAACAATCTTGATAATACAGTTTTTAATTTGTTATTAATCTTATACAAGAACGTGATTACACCAAATTGACACTTTGACTGTCGGCCGCATGAGGGTACCAGTTAGACAAAACATTTTTTTTTACGTATAGGTAACCATTATTTTCGTCAACGTTACTTAATAAACACTTATGTATGAACGATAAAACAAGAGAAATGCTTATCTTACCCTTAAGATAGGTATATTAATACCGAAAGATAGAGTGAAATTTGTTCACTTCTAGTTTTACCATAACATTGTGACAGTTACCGTCTTCAAATAATTATGGTGCTGGTATTGAAATTATTAATTGGTTTGGGTGTGGTAGCGATTGCAACATCGGAGACAACTTCCTCGGGCAGGGCGACATCGTGCACTTTAACAGGAAATTCTCTAGACCAACTCGCCGAAGTTAAAGCCTCCTGTAACGATATCGTCATAGAAGACCTCCTTGTTCCAGCTGGTAAAAGTTTAGATTTATCCGGTTTATCGGATGCATCGATTACGTTCAAAGGAAACGTTTCTTTTGAATACGCAGAATGGAAGGGCCCGTTGGTTTTGATAGGTGGTACTAATTTGAGTATAAAGGGCGAAGAAGGGCACGTTATCGATGGACAGGGTGCGAAATATTGGGACACCTTCGGTATTCACGCTGGTGTTCAGAAACCGAGACTCTTCAAATTGCGATATTTGTACAACGGAGTTGTGAACAATTTGCACTTCCTCAATTCGCCGCGTCATTGCATGGCCATTAACAACTGCACAAATGTAACCGTAAATAATTTAGTTGTTGATTCGAAAGATGGAGATACCCAAGGAGGTCATAACACCGATGCAATTAACGTGAAAGGCTCCGAGAACATATTCATCAACCACACTACTGTATACAACCAGAACGATTGTATCTCCGTCAGATCCGGAAAAAATGTTCATTTTACAGACGGTTACTGTTACGGTGGTCATGGGTTGTCGATAGGATCGATCGGTAACAGGACAAATAACGTTGTCGAAGACGTTTATTTCACCGATTCCATCGTCGTGAATTCAGAGAATGGAGTTAGAATAAAAACGGTGGTCAATGCGACGGGATTAGTTTCCGGTATTACTTATAACAACATTACCATGAGCAATATAACTACATTTGGAATTTTGGTACGAGGCGATTATGTAGGCAATCCAGGACCCACAGGCACTCCTTCCAATGGCATTCCAATCCGTAACCTTACAATAACAAATGTGCGTGGTACAGTTCAACCGCAAGCCACCAATATTTACGTTCTCCTTGGCCAGGGTGTTGCCCAGAATTGGTATTGGAACAATATAAACGTTACAGGAGGAACAAACAACTTAACATGTCAAGGAATACCTCCAAATTCCGGCGTTTTTTGTGCATAATGAAAATTCTTTATTTTTAGATCAACTTTCTTGTATGTCTACTACTATTACTATAAACCATGTAATGTGTTATAAAATATGAATAAAATTAATGAAATTATTCCAGTCTATACAATCTTTTAAATATACAACACCTAGTGATTCCAACCCGAACAAGTAACAACAAATTATTTTTTGCTGTCCTTTTATTTTAAAGTTTGCTTTGAATATTTTGTTTACGTCAATTTTTGATTGATTAACACGAGCTTCTAAAAGCTGTTTAAACGCAACGTAAAGGTAATTGTTATTTTTCAAAATTTGCGACCTCTTTTTCGTTGGAAGAAACAGAGAATAGGAACCGAGTATTTTATCAATTTTGTAAGTACATTAATTACCAAAGAACCAAACAGTTTCGAACGTTAATTAGAAGCAAGGATGCTGGAGATCAAGCAGAATTTTAACTCTTTTAACAGCAGCGTATCGAACAAATCGATGGGAGAATTAAATGAATTTTCTCAGAGTTTTGGAACATTACGTAAATATTTTAATCCAGCGGTCTACGTTGAAACACCTTTAGTATCAGTAAATCAAATGAGAAAGTCCAGTTCTTCAAATTTACGAATAAACGAAAATACACGAAAAATTATTAAAATCAAAAAGTGCGTTTGTTTCACGGATCCAGAGAATTGTACTCATTCTTTAACGTCAATGAATTCGCTGACTAATCTGCAGGCTTGTAAAGACTTATGTGGAACTCACGGTCAGCCACGTCCCACAATTAAATTTTCACCCTCAAGTTCTACCATTGATGACGATAAACAATCCTATACAGTGGATCAAGTAATAACAGATAAGGATAAAGCACAAGAACACCAAGGGAGCGAAAACGAGAGTTTTTCATTTGAATTTGAAGCGATGGAACGATCAAATCCGAACGATTTATCAACGCCATATGAAGACGATAAAGTCAAACAAGAGGCTTTTCGACGGTGGCTCATCAAAAAGGAAGAAGAGAAGAAAAGGAAGAAAAACGAAGAAGCTAGCATGAAGGATCTAAAAGAAGAGGAAAAAAAACAACATTTAGAGAAGGAAAGGGAGAACTTCGCTAGATGGCTATCGAACAAAAAGCAAGAGGAAGAAAGAAAAAAGATGGAAGAAGAGAAAAAGAAAAAGGACGAGATGGAAAAGATGGAAGTGAAGAAGTTTCGGACAACGGAATGCGATCTCAGGTACAAATTGTGGCTGAAAAAGAAAGAACAGGCAGAGCTTGGTAATTATTTCGTATTTTTAAGTAGCTACGTATGTAATAAATATAAAGAATTTCGAATTCCTAAAGATCGAAAAATCAAGGAACAGATGAAAATAATGAAAATAACCGAAGAAAAAGAAAGAAAAAAGGCCCTCAATGAAAAGGCATATCAAGACTGGCTGAGAAGATCAAAAAATAAACCTAAACCGTTACCACTCAATCAAGGATTAGAAAGTAACAGAGTTTGCTCATTTTTTCTGCACTTTGATAAACGTTCTTGTCTTTGCAGGTTTAAAATCATCCCTCTCGGTGACATATATAAATCCAACTCCATGGAATCCCAATATTCCTCAAAATTGCAAACCTATTTCCAAATAACAATCTAACAAACTATCTAATCTACTATATCGAATGCATATTTTCAAAATGTATTTCTTTTAATGTATACTATTCATTAAATAATGAATCGCCAAAATATAATAAACATTACCAAACAATCAATTCTTTTTTTATATATTTTATAATTTTCCTAACGTGTTCTTTTTTTTTTTAATACATCTAGAGAGTAGAATCATTGAATGTTTTCTGAAATAAATAATGACATGGTACATACTTAAATTAAGATTAAGAGAGAGATTAACAAACTTGTTTTTTTTTTAATAAAACTTTGTTTTTGTGTTTAGCATAACAAAGTGTAATTGCCTTTCGATACAGGCGTACACCTACGTGTTGTACGTTGTAAATTACCTAATGAAAGCTGTAAATGTTCCACTTTTACCAAATCAATAAAGGATGCTAAATTATTTAAAAAGCATTATAGTCACATGACACTTGGTATCTAACGTTACTTGTTGTGAATTACTACATGGATATGTCTACACATGCGATGTATTCAAGTTAATATAACAACACAAAAACATACGTACACACAAGCGCGCATACACAAGAGCGACCACCCCCTCGGCCAAAACTAAATAATGTTGCGCTTCTTTAACGGCAAAGGCGCAGAATAAATTAAGACGTTCAGAGTGTTTTTATATAAAAAGTTAACAATTGTTTTTATACTGAAGAAAAAAAAAATTAAAAACAAAATGAAAGAAAATTCAACCAATTCGATGAGAAATTCGGACGGAAAACTTATCAACTTTCAAAAAAATTCAAACATCCGGATTTGGATACATCATCGCGACTTGGGAAAATTGCAGCAGGTGATTTGGGAAGGATTTGGGTCTAAACTACTGGTCGAGCACAGCAACAACTTGAAAGTTCGAAAATTCTTGGAAAGCGTGCCGCATATCATGGTATGTTTATCAGTTGTTCATATTCATATAAGTAGAGATAAAGAATTAATTGCCTATTGAGTACACATCATACAGATACATGTGTACCCACCTATAAAATGTAGATATAGCTTGTCGTCAAGGTGCGGATTGGATTTTAAATGACCTATATAGCAGCCTTTTCACATGAAAAGTTTGATCAAAATTGAATCGATTATGTTACATTTACGTACTACTTTTGCTTCAATTGCACGTCTGATTTTATTAATGCTACTATTAGGACATTTTTAAAAGGTTTTCAGTATTCTTTGTACTTTCCAGAATTTTACTATTCAAAAGATTTCCTTCTGATAAATTTGAAACGTATCAATTTAGCAGTCTATTTCTCATATTTTCTATAAAAAAAATTTAAGGGACTCATCAAGGACATCCACAATGACGTTATAGCTGATGACTTTGAAAATCTAAAAAAGCGAACTGATGATCCTGTCCCTGCTATCGTCCTTTCAGCGAAAGACGGAAATGGAATGACACCTTTACACAAGGTAGGAATCGGTCTGAAACTTCTTCTAAATATTTTTAAATAGGTAATACAATAATGATTCTATAGGCTGCAGGTTTAGGTCGTTATGCGATTGCAGAATACATAATTGCCAAGTATCCTGAAAGCGTATCAATAACCGACACCAAAAAGCGCTCACCCCTTCATTACGCTCCCTTGGCAAAAGATGATAACAAGACTTACGAACTGCTTGTTAAAAGCGGCGCTGATGAATACACTTTGGACAACGTAAGAACGTTTGGATCTTCCAATGCTCTTTTAATACTTTAGTTAAAATATTTTACATTCTACAGAGAGAAAAAGCTCCCGGTTATTATAAGGGAAAGTTCAACGAGTTGGAATCCAACTGGTTGTACGTGTTGCCCGAATGTCCCCGAACAGCTAAACAATCATTCTTCAACGAATACGATTGGAATCTTCTAAGTTCATCTAAAAGCGACCCCGAAATAAAAAAGCACATAAAGACAGACATCGAGAAACATGAAAACGACCAACACAAAAATAGATCTGTTACAACGACCAGGAAAAGGACCGTCAGCAAGGATAAAATGACCAACGGTGAACGTTTTCGAAAGAAATCGGAACAAGCGGACAGTCAAGATGAAGAAAATAGTCAGGAGGATGACAACATTACAACTACACGCGAGGAGCATCAAGTGCACACAAGTAGCAACAAAACAAATAGCCAAGAGGAAAAAGAAAATAATACAGGAGTAAATTCCAAAAAGAATAAACCAAAATCGATCCAAAAAAGCGATTCAAACGGAAAAGATAGAACAAATACTGAAGAAGCAACAGAAAATCCTCGCAATAAAGATTCGGCACCAGATACCAAAAAAATTACTGACAAACAATCGAAAACTAAATCTCTTGATGAAGGGAGGAAATCGGGAAAAGGCGACGATAAAGGAGGAGATAAAGGGAAACATTTGATTCGCGAAAATTCCCAAAGGTCGCCTGCCGAAGAACATAATGTTAAAACTGGTGAAAAAGCAAAGCAGGGATCGCCAGGTGAAACTTCGTATGAAGAAATGTGGCACCCTCCTCCTCCTGTCAGGGCCACTTCTCAACAATTCATCGACATGGAAAGGGCCTCTTCAAGTGACAAGAACGTATCGAAAACCGACGAAAACGAACAAGATAAGAAAACTGAAAGCAACGAACAACAAAACAAAAGCGATACTAATTATACGGTATCGTACGTGGAAGGATCCGGTGAAGGTGTTATAGAAGGCGTTGTAAATGGAGAAAACGAAGTAGAATCTGTAAACGAAGAAGGTTCAGGGCATATAACGGAACAAGGACAAAATTCAAATGTGGTTAATCAATTAATTCATTCGGATAACATGGAACGGCTAGCGGCATTGGTTTTAAATGGAAATGGCAACTGGCTGATTGGACACAAATCTCCTAATCCCGAAATACAGGCTTTTCTTGATAATGTCCCCGTATATATGGTAAGTTCTCATTTATTATACAATGGGCCCCAAAAGGCAGTACTGAAATGAAAATTGTAGAAAATTTTAGCCAATGTTATTTTCGAAATCGAGGATTAAATGTTTAGGAGCATATATCTGGCGAACCATTAAAGATAGCGCAGAAATTCTTTCACCAACGGTTGGCCCGTACCTAACTGTACAGGAAAAATTTAATTTCGAAGAAAAAAAGTTTAATAATTTTTGAAAATTTTGAATTTTTCATCAACACCGAATGCGACCGGATACGGCTCATATCGTTCGCGCTGGGACGGGGTGTCCGTCTGTGGAAGAATTTTTCCGATAGGTCCTACCGTTTTCCAGCTACAGCTCGAGAAACGTCAAACTTAGGAGCTGTGCGCTCGCGAACATGGCAGCGGTTAAACATCCATAGCTCCGCAGATGTACGTGCGATCCTTACCAGACTGGGGTCGTTCGAAGCCCAATGAATGGGGCAAGTTTTCGACGGAAGCAGTTTTATATCGTGACACTCCTGGTCTGCGCCAGAGCCGACCCAATTCGCGGAATTTGCTTTTTGTTCATTCGTGCGTTTTCCTGAGGTCACAGGATGGCCTCTATTTCCGGACTGAGTTGTCCGATCTGTATGGGAGTGTTATCAAAATTTTCTAGAGATACTGTGCTCTGCGTCAAGAGTAAAAGCGCCCACCTACGAAGTTCCGTTTCGGAGTTATTGCTGTCGGAAATTTCAGCCAAGGGTTATTTTCGAAATCGAGGATTAAATGTTTAGGAGCATACATCTGGCGAACCATTTAAGATAGCGCACAAATTCTTTCACCAACGGTTAGGCCGTACCTAAGTGTACAGGAAAAATTTAATTTCGAAGAAAAAAAAATGAAAAAAATTTTAAAAATTTTGAATTTTTCATCAACACCGAATGCGACCGCATACGGGTCATATCGTTCGCGCTGAGACGGGGCATCCGCCTGTGAAAGAATTTTTCCGATAGGTCCTACCGTTTTCCTACCACAGCCCGCGAAACGTCAAACTCAGGAGCTGTGCGCTCGCAAACATGGCCGCGGTTAAACATCCATAGCTCCGCAGATGTACGTGCGATCCGTATCAGACTGGACTCGTTCGAAGCCCAATGAATGGGGCAAGTTTTCGACGGAAGCAGTTTTATATCGTGGCACTCCTGGTCTGCACCAGAGCCGACCCAATTCGCGGAATTTGCTTTTTGTTCGTTCGAGCGTTTTCCTGAGGTCACAGGATGACTCCTGTTTCCGGACTGAGTTGTCCGATCTGTATGAGAGTGCTATCAAAATTTTCTAGAGATGGTGTGCTCTGCGTCAAGAGTAAAAGCGCCCACCTACGAGGTTCCGTTTCGGAGTTATGACTGTCGGAAGTTTCAGCCAAGTGTTATTTTCGAAATCCAGGATTAAATGTTTAGGAGTATATATCTGGCGAACCATTAAAGATAGCGCAGAAATTCTTTCACCAACGGTTAGCCCGTACCTAAGTGTACAGGGAAAATTTAATTATATCTCTCATAGTATTTCTGTACACCATTTCTATTTCGAAATTTCCTGTGTTGTGTCAACTCGATATCAAGCTAACATTTCGTCTATTTTCCAATAACCAGCTTTTAGAAATAAGAAATGTAACTTTATCATGCTAGCTTGATGTATATCCATACGTTAGTTTTTGTATGACAATCATTTGAAGTTTTTGGTGTAATTGCAAGACTTATTACCTCAAGAATTTACGTTTCTTGGCGATAAATTCGGTTTGAATTTCTATCATTCTCGTTTGAAATTCCTTTTGGGACACACTGTATATCGACCACCTATCGGTATCGATGTTCTGATTTTATTTTTAGTCAAAAATTCATCGAATTCATTCTGCCGCAAGAAACGGAAGTTTGAAAGATTTGCAAGCAGCTTTGGACAGACGAAAATTTGCTATAGCAAAAGACAACATCTCCCCAAACGGAGCAACAGCTCTCCACGTTGCAGTTTTATTTGGGAACACGAGTATCGTCAGATACTTAGCAGGGAGGTTCCCGGAAACTGTAAATACGATTGGAATCTTCTAAGTTCATCTAAAAGCGACCCCGAAATAAAGAAGCACATAAAGACAGACATCGAGAAACATGAAAACGACCAACACAAAAATAGATCTGTTACAACGACCAGGAAAAGGACCGTCAGCAAGGATAAAATGACCAACGGTGAACGTTTTCGAAAGAAATCGGAACAAGCGGACAGTCAAGATGAAGAAAATAGTCAGGAGGATGACAACATTACAACTACACGCGAGGAGCATCAAGTGCACACAAGTAGCAACAAAACAAATAGCCAAGAGGAAAAGGAAAATAATACAGGAGTAAATTCCAAAAAGAATAAACCAAAATCGATCCAAAAAAGCGATTCAAACGGAAAAGATAGAACAAATACTGAAGAAGCAACAGAAAATCCTCGCAATAAAGATTCGGCACCAGATACCAAAAAAATTACTGACAAACAATCGAAAACTAAATCTCTTGATGAAGGGAGGAAATCGGGAAAAGGCGACGATAAAGGAGGAGATAAAGGGAAACATTTGATTCGCGAAAATTCCCAAAGGTCGCCTGCCGAAGAACATAATGTTAAAACTGGTGAAAAAGCAAAGCAGGGATCGCCAGGTGAAACTTCGTATGAAGAAATGTGGCACCCTCCTCCTCCTGTCAGGGCCACTTCTCAACAATTCATCGACATGGAAAGGGCCTCTTCAAGTGACAAGAACGTATCGAAAACCGACGAAAACGAACAAGATAAGAAAACTGAAAGCAACGAACAACAAAACAAAAGCGATACTAATTATACGGTATCGTACGTGGAAGGATCCGGTGAAGGTGTTATAGAAGGCGTTGTAAATGGAGAAAACGAAGTAGAATCTGTAAACGAAGAAGGTTCAGGGCATATAACGGAACAAGGACAAAATTCAAATGTGGTTAATCAATTAATTCATTCGGATAACATGGAACGGCTAGCGGCATTGGTTTTAAATGGAAATGGCAACTGGCTGATTGGACACAAATCTCCTAATCCCGAAATACAGGCTTTTCTTGATAATGTCCCCGTATATATGGTAAGTTCTCATTTATTATACAATGGGCCCCAAAAGGCAGTACTGAAATGAAAATTGTAGAAAATTTTAGCCAATGTTATTTTCGAAATCGAGGATTAAATGTTTAGGAGCATATATCTGGCGAACCATTAAAGATAGCGCAGAAATTCTTTCACCAACGGTTGGCCCGTACCTAACTGTACAGGAAAAATTTAATTTCGAAGAAAAAAAGTTTAATAATTTTTGAAAATTTTGAATTTTTCATCAACACCGAATGCGACCGGATACGGCTCATATCGTTCGCGCTGGGACGGGGTGTCCGTCTGTGGAAGAATTTTTCCGATAGGTCCTACCGTTTTCCAGCTACAGCTCGAGAAACGTCAAACTTAGGAGCTGTGCGCTCGCGAACATGGCAGCGGTTAAACATCCATAGCTCCGCAGATGTACGTGCGATCCTTACCAGACTGGGGTCGTTCGAAGCCCAATGAATGGGGCAAGTTTTCGACGGAAGCAGTTTTATATCGTGACACTCCTGGTCTGCGCCAGAGCCGACCCAATTCGCGGAATTTGCTTTTTGTTCATTCGTGCGTTTTCCTGAGGTCACAGGATGGCCTCTATTTCCGGACTGAGTTGTCCGATCTGTATGGGAGTGTTATCAAAATTTTCTAGAGATACTGTGCTCTGCGTCAAGAGTAAAAGCGCCCACCTACGAAGTTCCGTTTCGGAGTTATTGCTGTCGGAAATTTCAGCCAAGGGTTATTTTCGAAATCGAGGATTAAATGTTTAGGAGCATACATCTGGCGAACCATTTAAGATAGCGCACAAATTCTTTCACCAACGGTTAGGCCGTACCTAAGTGTACAGGAAAAATTTAATTTCGAAGAAAAAAAAATNTGTGCGCATGCACCATTGGAGCTGTGAAGCGCACAGCTCCATTCAAAGTCTTTTATGTCTTTTTCACTAAGTGAGGACTAAGCACTGGCAAACTGTGAAACAACTAAAGCCAAGAGGACTTATTATATTAAACGTTATCTCTAATATCCAGTGGAAATAGGGGATGATGCAGTTTCACGTGGCCCGCCCTTAATGCGTAATAATAAAAGTTGTATCTATTAAAAGCTCATTTTGCATTAAACTGAAAGCTTCGTGAAGAGTGTAATTTTAATAGGCCTAAGCAAAGCAAAAAGAGAAATAATAATAAAAAAAAAAAAGATATTTACGTGTCATTCGAATCGCCGGGTGCAGGAGATGGGCCTCGCGTCGAACTGGCTTGGTCCAAAAGCTGTCCAAAACGCAAATAAAGGGTGAAATATTTTTGTGCTCCAATCAATGTACAAGCTACGTATTTGTCGATCAACAAATAATCAAACATGCCCTAATTATTTTTATTAATTACACCAAATAATTAAACGATTACAGCGAGCAGGCGAAATGGCACATCTACATCCTGTCTACTTGGTAGGTCATATTGACAAACATTTAATAAAATTATCATTTTACACCATACAACAAGATATTAATTAAACAGCTAACGTTGCACAGCAAACAACAACAAGAACAACATTAAATTATTTCACTGTTTCTTTTTTTTTATTATTTTTTTTTGTTCGTATCATTTCGTAAGGCTAAAAAATGAAAAAAAAAGAGAATATGGAAAAAACTCACAAGTAAATACGTTCTCGAGCACGATGCACAATAAATAATAAACATACAAATAAGTAGGTAAATAATTATTAACAAGACATTCAAGTAAATAAATATGTACCATGTCATATTCATGTAGATAATTGATAATAATAAAAGATCAACGTTATAATATAACGCATCGGTTTGTCAAACTTACGTCGTAACTTAATGAGTGGAGTGTCGGTCCTGCGGACGTACTAGTCGTTACTGTTACGTCAATTTCGTTGGGGTCGAGACCTAAAGTGGCACCTAATCTCAATATGTAAATTCCCGTTACCCTTATCAGCGATTGCAGTTTTAATTTCAAGTCCGTAAGCCTGGCCATGATAACGTTGCACTCTTCCGGAGCTTCTTCCTCGTTAAACACGCCGTTCGCTGCTTCTTGCAAACTTAACACCCTCGGTTCGCACCTCTCCAGTTCCGACTTGAGTTCTCTCAGTTGATTGTATTTCGATTTCAAAATGTCCGAATCGACAGTCAGATCTATCGGCTCCGTCGATCGGATTTGTCGTTCTGTATCTTCAATCCAACCGGTCAATTCGCTGACTATAGAATGAAACTGACGATTCTGTAAGGAATAACGCGAAAAACAATGTTAAACATTACAAAATATTCACTTTCAAATATGTACTCACGTTTAAAAGCGCTTTTTGTAAGATAGTTTGCCAAGCAGCCGCATTCACGCAAATAACGTCCCATCTTGTGTTATTTTTCTCCAGTCTTTCCCTTAATTTATCGGCTTTGTCCGTATCTTCCGTGTGTTCGGCCAAATGATTACCGACAATGTTCAAAGACTTCATTATGCTCATATGGCCTTCAAGATCCAGCAGAAATTCTCTGTGGTCTTGAATCATGTCTTCCAACAGTTCGATGTTCGTTGGAGGAGAATTTTGGGACGATTGAATGCCTTCGGCTGCTTGCAACCACTGTTCCAATCTCCACAGATCGTTGTCCAACTGGCTCCAATTGCTGTTGGTACAAAATGGACACAAAACTCTTCCAGATTCACTGAGAAGAAAAAACACCATTTACTAGATACCTTCACATCAATCGAGGAAATTATATAGAGTGACTACCAAGAGCAGTCTTTTAGAAAGATTATAAAAAGAAACTCACTGTTCACAAACAAAGACATAAGCTTCGGAGATAGTTAGCCTGTAGAAAAAAGAAAGTTGTTAGTGAAAGTGTTAGTAGATAAAAGAATACTAGGAAGTTGATTAGATAGTTTAAAAGAATAAGGGAAAAAAGAGAAAAACTACCGACTGAATTCTAAAAGAAAAACAGAAATTTTACCTCAGTTCTTTAATTGCCAGTTCCTTTTTCTTTGCCATCTTTGCAAGCTTTTCGAATTTAAGTAGCAACCTGTCGATTTCTTCGGCGTTAGATTCTTCTTCAGAAGCAGCGCAGTCCTTCAGTAAGACGTCTCTGAGATGTTTAACCAGTTCTGTTGATGACTGGCATGCAGCTGTCAATTTTGCAACAAGTTTACCATCAGAATGTAACTCGGGAGATCCTTTTTGTGGTATATCTTTCTGGATGGCGTCTTCTAAATCGTTCATGTTGTGTTTCAGTTCATCGAGAGCGGTAGACAACTCCATAACGTAAGCATCTTTGGCAGTTATAGAAGTCATTCTTTGTAGTTTTGGCGGTAAAGTATTTACTTGTACGGCAATATCTTGTTCGAATTTAAGCGTTTCTACTTGGACAGATTCGTCAGCTATTTGTTTGCTCTTCTCTGCTACCTTCTGGCGCAGATCAGACTTGAGGGTGATTATTTTTTGTTGAATATTTTTCCATAAAACTTGATATTCGTCGATCATTTCTTGGACGCTCGACGCAGTTTCCTTTCTGTGCTTTTCCATAATCAGGAGACCCAACCGGTCCGCATTTTCCAATGTTTCATTCTGGGTGTTCAAGATGTCCTCTATTTTCTCCAATTCCGCCAGTTGTTGTGCCGGAAATTCTTGAAGTTCAGGCGACGAAAGGTGCTCCAGTTCCACTATTTTGGCATCGATCCTGGTGAGTGCCATTACAGCGTTTCCATGAGCGTCAGTGAAGTCCTTGAATAAACTCATTTCGCTCTGGAACTTGTCGAGGATGCTTCGGGCTTTAGGTAACAAACAGTGCCATCTCATAATCATTTTTCGCGCTTCTAGAACGTGCCGTTTTGTACTGTCCGAATCTAAACCATTGGTTTTCGTTATTTTGGAATAGGTCTGTTCCAAAACCTCGAACACTGGACCACGCGATTCTAGCTCGTTGATTTGATGTTCGATTTGTGCTATAGCTTTATGTAATTCTTCTTTTGTTGAAAAGTTGTCAACAGATCTGTCCAGTTTAAGTACGGCTTCTTCTTGGGCATTTAGCCACTCGTTGTGTTCTTCGGTGAGTCGACGCAGTTCACAAAGTAATTTTCCAACAAAGGTGATTTTACGTTTCTGTTCCGCCGATGTGCCGCACACGTTCTTCCATCGTTTTTCTATGCTCTGCATGGAAGATGCTATTTAAAAAAGATATTTACGTGTCATTCGAATCGCCGGGTGCAGGAGATGGGCCTCGCGTCGAACTGGCTTGGTCCAAAAGCTGTCCAAAACGCAAATAAAGGGTGAAATATTTTTGTGCTCCAATCAATGTACAAGCTACGTATTTGTCGATCAACAAATAATCAAACATGCCCTAATTATTTTTATTAATTACACCAAATAATTAAACGATTACAGCGAGCAGGCGAAATGGCACATCTACATCCTGTCTACTTGGTAGGTCATATTGACAAACATTTAATAAAATTATCATTTTACACCATACAACAAGATATTAATTAAACAGCTAACGTTGCACAGCAAACAACAACAAGAACAACATTAAATTATTTCACTGTTTCTTTTTTTTTTATTATTTTTTTTGTTCGTATCATTTCGTAAGGCTAAAAAATGAAAAAAAAAGAGAATATGGAAAAAACTCACAAGTAAATACGTTCTCGAGCACGATGCACAATAAATAATAAACATACAAATAAGTAGGTAAATAATTATTAACAAGACATTCAAGTAAATAAATATGTACCATGTCATATTCATGTAGATAATTGATAATAATAAAAGATCAACGTTATAATATAACGCATCGGTTTGTCAAACTTACGTCGTAACTTAATGAGTGGAGTGTCGGTCCTGCGGACGTACTAGTCGTTACTGTTACGTCAATTTCGTTGGGGTCGAGACCTAAAGTGGCACCTAATCTCAATATGTAAATTCCCGTTACCCTTATCAGCGATTGCAGTTTTAATTTCAAGTCCGTAAGCCTGGCCATGATAACGTTGCACTCTTCCGGAGCTTCTTCCTCGTTAAACACGCCGTTCGCTGCTTCTTGCAAACTTAACACCCTCGGTTCGCACCTCTCCAGTTCCGACTTGAGTTCTCTCAGTTGATTGTATTTCGATTTCAAAATGTCCGAATCGACAGTCAGATCTATCGGCTCCGTCGATCGGATTTGTCGTTCTGTATCTTCAATCCAACCGGTCAATTCGCTGACTATAGAATGAAACTGACGATTCTGTAAGGAATAACGCGAAAAACAATGTTAAACATTACAAAATATTCACTTTCAAATATGTACTCACGTTTAAAAGCGCTTTTTGTAAGATAGTTTGCCAAGCAGCCGCGTTCACGCAAATAACGTCCCATCTTGTGTTATTTTTCTCCAGTCTTTCCCTTAATTTATCGGCTTTGTCCGTATCTTCCGTGTGTTCGGCCAAATGATTACCGACAATGTTCAAAGACTTCATTATGCTCATATGGCCTTCAAGATCCAGCAGAAATTCTCTGTGGTCTTGAATCATGTCTTCCAACAGTTCGATGTTCGTTGGAGGAGAATTTTGGGACGATTGAATGCCTTCGGCTGCTTGCAACCACTGTTCCAATCTCCACAGATCGTTGTCCAACTGGCTCCAATTGCTATTGGTACAAAATGGACACAAAACTCTTCCAGATTCACTGAGAAGAAAAAACACCATTTACTAGATACCTTCACATCAATCGAGGAAATTATATAGAGTGACTACCAAGAGCAGTCTTTTAGAAAGATTATAAAAAGAAACTCACTGTTCACAAACAAAGACATAAGCTTCGGAGATAGTTAGCCTGTAGAAAAAAGAAAGTTGTTAGTGAAAGTGTTAGTAGATAAAAGAATACTAGGAAGTTGATTAGATAGTTTAAAAGAATAAGGGAAAAAAAGAGAAAAACTACCGACTGAATTCTCAAAGAAAAACAGAAATTTTACCTCAGTTCTTTAATTGCCAGTTCCTTTTTCTNATTTTTAAAAATTTTGAATTTTTCATCAACACCGAATGCGACCGCATACGGGTCATATCGTTCGCGCTGAGACGGGGCATCCGCCTGTGAAAGAATTTTTCCGATAGGTCCTACCGTTTTCCTACCACAGCCCGCGAAACGTCAAACTCAGGAGCTGTGCGCTCGCAAACATGGCCGCGGTTAAACATCCATAGCTCCGCAGATGTACGTGCGATCCGTATCAGACTGGACTCGTTCGAAGCCCAATGAATGGGGCAAGTTTTCGACGGAAGCAGTTTTATATCGTGGCACTCCTGGTCTGCACCAGAGCCGACCCAATTCGCGGAATTTGCTTTTTGTTCGTTCGAGCGTTTTCCTGAGGTCACAGGATGACTCCTGTTTCCGGACTGAGTTGTCCGATCTGTATGAGAGTGCTATCAAAATTTTCTAGAGATGGTGTGCTCTGCGTCAAGAGTAAAAGCGCCCACCTACGAGGTTCCGTTTCGGAGTTATGACTGTCGGAAGTTTCAGCCAAGTGTTATTTTCGAAATCCAGGATTAAATGTTTAGGAGTATATATCTGGCGAACCATTAAAGATAGCGCAGAAATTCTTTCACCAACGGTTAGCCCGTACCTAAGTGTACAGGGAAAATTTAATTATATCTCTCATAGTATTTCTGTACACCATTTCTATTTCGAAATTTCCTGTGTTGTGTCAACTCGATATCAAGCTAACATTTCGTCTATTTTCCAATAACCAGCTTTTAGAAATAAGAAATGTAACTTTATCATGCTAGCTTGATGTATATCCATACGTTAGTTTTTGTATGACAATCATTTGAAGTTTTTGGTGTAATTGCAAGACTTATTACCTCAAGAATTTACGTTTCTTGGCGATAAATTCGGTTTGAATTTCTATCATTCTCGTTTGAAATTCCTTTTGGGACACACTGTATATCGACCACCTATCGGTATCGATGTTCTGATTTTATTTTTAGTCAAAAATTCATCGAATTCATTCTGCCGCAAGAAACGGAAGTTTGAAAGATTTGCAAGCAGCTTTGGACAGGCGAAAATTTGCTATAGCAAAAGACAACATTTCCCCAAACGGGGCAACAGCTCTCCACGTTGCAGTTTTATTTGGGAACACGAGTATCGTCAGATACTTAGCAGGGAGGTTCCCGGAAACTGTAAATACCACTGACGACAACGGCAGAACACCCTTACATTTTGCAGCAACTTTAGACGATAACGGACATTACTACAATCTGCTTGTCCACTTGGGAGCCGATCATACCATTAAAGATAATGTATTCGATTTATTTGTTGATAAAATTATTATTATTCCCGCTGTTCTTTTTACATATATCATACTACGTACGTGTTTTAGAACGGTTTCACTCCAGAATATTACAAAACAAAGAGAAGTGAACTATCACACCGAATGCTACTAACGGATTACGGGGGTGAAGAACTGGCAGATGAAATTTTAAAAGATAAAGGTAGCTGCAATCAAAATCTTTTACCTTTTATAATAGAAACAAGTGGCACAACGTTATTGCGATCGATAAGTACTTGTCTATTTACAATGAACTATAAATTATGATTAATTGATGTAGTTATAGTATTACGTTGAGTAAACACAATAATATCTTCCTAATTACATTTATTGATTGTTGCATTGATTGATACAGTTCAATCATTCGTTCAATCTATCGTTACGTAAAACCTTTCATAGGAAGGTACTACAAATAAATTACTTTTTTGATTTTAGATAAATCGAATAATTCACAGGTGGACATGCCTTTCTTTTGGACCGAAGAAGGGCGATATCTTGCTTCCTGTACGTTTTAAATTTATTATAAATAGGGAGCTGACTCTTTACTATCCTGAGTTAATCTTCGCATTTCCCTAAAACTAGAACATTCCTCAACTATTTGAGAACAGTAATCTAACCTAGGTCTACCTCTACCCCTCCTAACTCCCGTTTCTGCCTCTAATATGTCTCTAACTAGACCTTCATGCTTAAGAAGGTATCCTACCAACCTATCTCGCCTATTTTTTATTGACTTTCGTAGAGTCCTCTGTTCTCCTATTCTTTCTAATACCTCTTCATTTCTAATCTTCTATCCTAGGTATCCTGATCATTAGCCTGTAACACCAAATTTCCAACGCTTCTAACCTTTTCTTTCCCACTGCGCCCTCTGTCCATGTTTCGCACCCGTACAGCACCGCACTCCAAACATACACCTTTAACAACCGTTTTCGAATTTCTAAATTAACCGTTCGCGAACATAGAAGTGACTTCGTTTTATTGAAAGCGACTCTACCCTGCGCTATCCTCTGCTTTATATCCCTACTACTCCTGACTTCCTAGATGCCTAAAATCAACCACTTCTTCTAATTTGTCGTCTCCTATCTTTATATTCGCCCTTTCCCTACTTTTTTTTTCCCTTGCATACCAATATTTTTGTTTTACTTCTATTTGCTCAGGCCGACGATCAAAGTTTTGTAGGGGTGGGGTGAGAAGTAAGAGGTAACATGTATTTTCACCTCGGCTTCCACAAAGTGTACTTTGAAACCCTCCTGACAATGACGTCCGCTCCCTAATTATAATAATTTATTAGAAACGACTTCCCTACTTGTAATTTTTTAGCGTTGGGAGATCCCTTGATAAAAGGACTGACTGAAATTGCTAACAAACGTCCAGAAGATCCGATTGCATATCTCGCTTCATATCTTTCCAATTTTTCGAAAGTTGATGACGACAATTGCAACAGCACCCCTAATAATAGTGCTAATGTTAGTCAAGTGCGAACATTTTCTTTACTGTTTTACGCATTTGTGAAACTAAATTTCTGTTTTAGAATGGAAACGATAAAACGAGTACAAGTTCTGGAAGAAACGAATCGTTAAAACGAGAAAAGTCATCGACTTCCAAGCACATCGATGTCGTAACGTTGGATCCTAATGCTAACAATCCTGAAATTGCAGAAGAAGTCAAAACTGCTTTCAATTCAACAACCCGAGTAGGTATCTACATCCCTGACCCTTTGTTATTTTATGAATTATTACCTTTAGGACGAACACGGACAAAGTATGCTACACTTTGCTGCTGCAAGATCACACAACAGAAATGCATTATTTCAATTACTTCAAGAGACAAATATAAACGTCGGCTATCGCGACGAACTTTATAGAACGGCGAGAGACATTAGCATTCAGGCGGACATAACAGAAAATACTCAGGAAATTGATAAGTAATAAAAATATTAACGTCTCTATCTACATCTATCTAAATAAACAAAGCTATTATACATTAAAACGATTTTTGTTAGATACGTTTTCTATATCGCCTGCGAAGGAGACACAGACAAACTGGTAGAACTTCTGCTTGAAGGATATGATCACATTATTGATATAATGGATGATGCTAACGTCCCAATTATTGAGGCAGTTTCTCAGGAAAACCAACCCGAAACGGTCGCTTTCTTGCAATCAATTTTAACCTTTGAGGTTTGCTCTTTTTGTTTTTAATGGTTTATTTTACTTTGCAATAGTGACACGAAAGATCGGCAAAGTTTTCACAATGCCTTTCAGAAGCTTTCGGGGTAAAAAAGTCAGGGTAATTTCTTTAAGTTTCAAAAGAACTAAAAGTAATCAGAAGAAGGCAGCAAAATCATCACAAAATTTGACACGCTTGTAAAACCTAGAATTTTTTTTACGAGAATTTTCCGGGTTGACGAACATTTCGTTTTGATATTTTCAATGAAGTCGTCGATAAATGTGCAGAGTTCTCGTCAAGGATTCGTTATTAAAATGCAATAGACCACGATTGATCAACCCGGAAAATTCTCGTCAGATACATTGAGTTTTCAATCTTCTAAAAGTTTTTAACAGCCTGATTTTCTTTTTCCTAATCACCGCTTAGCAATAAATATAATGACGTAATTTATTATCAACTTACATTTCGAAGTGGCCACTTCTTTAAGAACTGTGAAGCCAGACTGATATAATTAAGGAATTAGGGATCAATCAAGAAATTTTCATTCAAGTCAGGAGTTTCTCATCCATGATATTCCAGATTATTTTCTGATGCTAGCACAATATAGTTGAAAACATTTTTAATTTTTACCATTCAATATATAGGTAAATCTTTAATGACTAATAACGAATTGTAGAATTTTCCAAACAATTGTATCAATTGATATTGGGCATGTTAAATTGAAGAATATTTTCGTAATATGTTTGTTAATATTTTGTTACTGTAATTAAGTTTGCATTTTACATGGTGAGGGAACGGGATGAAAAATTGTCTGGAAAACTGGGCAGGAAAATTCGTGGAAATTGACTTGAGAAAAAGTTATTTATATGTATAATATATACACCTAACGCTTTTGATGGTAGGAAAAACGAGAAAGGGTTCATTACGCTATCAGACGAGGAAATCTGAACGAAATAAAGGATATGTTAGCTGACGAAAACGAAACAGGAAGTGGTAGATTATTGGCCGTGTGTAAAAATAATTATGGACGATGTACCTTACACATCGCCGTTCTTTGTCAACAAGAAGAAATTATTGAGTACTTAGCGACACAATTTTCGGAATGCCTCAGTATTGGCGACAACGTAAGTTTAAAAAATTATAAAATGTAGAATTCAAGTAGGTACCTAAGTTATCCAGTTATAAAAAAATACATTTTCAGTTGGAACGCACAGCATTACATTATGCAATGGGGATTGAAAAAATTGAGTCAATCAGCGGAATTTTGATAAAGGCAGGGGCAAAAAGGGTTGTAAAAGATTTAAAGGGGCGCCAGCCTACATACTACTTTATGAACAAATCCGATATATTGAGATTACAAGAAGAGGAAGAAATGTTTTAATTTTTACAACTTATAATACCAACATACAAAATTAAATGTAGAATAGTACCTTATAGCGTAGTACGCACCAAGGGAAAAAAGTGCGGTATTGCCCATTGCCAATTACCACCCCACCCGTATATGATTCTTTACCAAAACCCCTGTCCCAAAAGTAAGATAATTTCCCAATAAGGAATAAATGGTTTTTCTAAACCGGGAGTCAATACTTTCTTCCCTTTGTGCGTAATACAAGTACCTACTATTTAACTAGTACCAATCACCTATTTTTTGATAAGGTAGCTAATTATTTATCCATTATATAAGTACATCTTCAAATTATCATACAAGTACTTACTCTGTTTCGTTTTATTTTTTGTATTATATAAACAAATACAATTATTATATTACGTACCTCTTTGCTACCTTTTCTTTTTACATATTCATAATTTCCTTTTAAATAATTCCAATTAAAACGCATTTACATATTATTAGCAGTTAACAATCATTGTATAATTTATTAATTACTTACCGAACTGATGCATTAAATTATCCAATCATCAATGAACCATTCACGAATAAGTTTTTCTTAATAAGAAAATGCACTTATCACACAAATCTTTTCACAATTTTCTGTATAATTCACGAACCGAAAGCAAGTTATTTAAAAACGTCTTATCCGAACAAATAACTACATAAACTAGTTTCATAATAATGTAAAACGCTTTTAAAATCGTCAAACGAACACAAACCGACGATTAAATTGCATTACCACGAAGACTTTATCGCAATTTTCCGACTAGTCCGATCTCACAATGTCTATTTTTAGACATGACTTCATTGTCTTAGATCGAGTAAATTCCACAGAAAAGTAATTTCCACAGTTTTTTGACGAAATAATAAATACATTCGTAAAACTATAAATTATTGATTTTAATTAATTTTTAAACATAAGTACGTGCCGTTTGAACTGTTATTTTCAAAAGATCGATACCAATAACGCCCTTAAGAGTTCAATTAAAGATGATATTGCAAAACAGGCCTTTATTTAACTTACATATAGCTGCAATCTTTTATTGTAAATACATAAACAATCCTTTTTTATTGTAAACATTTAATGAAGGCTGCTATTTTAAGTATAATAGTCGATAATTATTGTATCATTGTATGTTTTACCATACACCTTAATAACAATAATCAATTAAGTATATATAAATGTATGTACAACGTAACAAATTTCAAAAAAAAAAAAATTAAAACGCTTAGAACANCTTTGTTTCTTTGATCTCAGCTTCTCGTTCTTGTTATTAAAGTGGCGGCGGTCCGTCGTTATACCGGAGCATCGGCGTAAAACTGTTTGCGAAATTGTTAACAAGCAAGCAAGAATAGTCGTCTTGTGTTGTCGGAACTAAAGAAGCCGCTCCCAGAAGCAACAGCATCATCGCTTGTATCGGCAACGAAGCCCTAACGACTCTGCCCAAGAAGTGATAGCTTCTTCGCAAAACGGAAATGCGACTGCCGTCGTCATCCCCTGTATGCCTGTTAGGGACAAAAAGGAACCAAACATGTATCCCAACTTAATCGACAAAATTATCAGTTGTTAGGTAAGCTGAAAATTAGCAACAACGACGCGATAAACCAAAACTACAACAGGAGAAATTCTCCCAACTCGAATGTTAACAAATAAGATCATTTTTTGAAAGGATTACTCGTCCATCGTTCCCCATCAATTTTTTTTAATACGGTACAACCCTCAATAGCGGTCAGTGGAACTGCATCAAAATGTGTAATAAACAACACACAACATTGAAGTAAATTTTCGAAGGAATTGTTTAACATTAATTACTAATTTAAATGTTTAATTAATTATTGTACACTTTACTGCATTCAGAAATAGCCAAGGAGCGACAGTACTCTCTCTCTCTACTATGCAGTGTCCTATGTGCGCATGCACCATTGGAGCTGTGAAGCGCACAGCTCCATTCAAAGTCTTTTATGTCTTTTTCACTAAGTGAGGACTAAGCACTGGCAAACTGTGAAACAACTAAAGCCAAGAGGACTTATTATATTAAACGTTATCTCTAATATCCAGTGGAAATAGGGGATGATGCAGTTTCACGTGGCCCGCCCTTAATGCGTAATAATAAAAGTTGTATCTATTAAAAGCTCATTTTGCATTAAACTGAAAGCTTCGTGAAGAGTGTAATTTTAATAGGCCTAAGCAAAGCAAAAAGAGAAATAATAATAAAAAAAAAAAAGATATTTACGTGTCATTCGAATCGCCGGGTGCAGGAGATGGGCCTCGCGTCGAACTGGCTTGGTCCAAAAGCTGTCCAAAACGCAAATAAAGGGTGAAATATTTTTGTGCTCCAATCAATGTACAAGCTACGTATTTGTCGATCAACAAATAATCAAACATGCCCTAATTATTTTTATTAATTACACCAAATAATTAAACGATTACAGCGAGCAGGCGAAATGGCACATCTACATCCTGTCTACTTGGTAGGTCATATTGACAAACATTTAATAAAATTATCATTTTACACCATACAACAAGATATTAATTAAACAGCTAACGTTGCACAGCAAACAACAACAAGAACAACATTAAATTATTTCACTGTTTCTTTTTTTTTATTATTTTTTTTTGTTCGTATCATTTCGTAAGGCTAAAAAATGAAAAAAAAAGAGAATATGGAAAAAACTCACAAGTAAATACGTTCTCGAGCACGATGCACAATAAATAATAAACATACAAATAAGTAGGTAAATAATTATTAACAAGACATTCAAGTAAATAAATATGTACCATGTCATATTCATGTAGATAATTGATAATAATAAAAGATCAACGTTATAATATAACGCATCGGTTTGTCAAACTTACGTCGTAACTTAATGAGTGGAGTGTCGGTCCTGCGGACGTACTAGTCGTTACTGTTACGTCAATTTCGTTGGGGTCGAGACCTAAAGTGGCACCTAATCTCAATATGTAAATTCCCGTTACCCTTATCAGCGATTGCAGTTTTAATTTCAAGTCCGTAAGCCTGGCCATGATAACGTTGCACTCTTCCGGAGCTTCTTCCTCGTTAAACACGCCGTTCGCTGCTTCTTGCAAACTTAACACCCTCGGTTCGCACCTCTCCAGTTCCGACTTGAGTTCTCTCAGTTGATTGTATTTCGATTTCAAAATGTCCGAATCGACAGTCAGATCTATCGGCTCCGTCGATCGGATTTGTCGTTCTGTATCTTCAATCCAACCGGTCAATTCGCTGACTATAGAATGAAACTGACGATTCTGTAAGGAATAACGCGAAAAACAATGTTAAACATTACAAAATATTCACTTTCAAATATGTACTCACGTTTAAAAGCGCTTTTTGTAAGATAGTTTGCCAAGCAGCCGCATTCACGCAAATAACGTCCCATCTTGTGTTATTTTTCTCCAGTCTTTCCCTTAATTTATCGGCTTTGTCCGTATCTTCCGTGTGTTCGGCCAAATGATTACCGACAATGTTCAAAGACTTCATTATGCTCATATGGCCTTCAAGATCCAGCAGAAATTCTCTGTGGTCTTGAATCATGTCTTCCAACAGTTCGATGTTCGTTGGAGGAGAATTTTGGGACGATTGAATGCCTTCGGCTGCTTGCAACCACTGTTCCAATCTCCACAGATCGTTGTCCAACTGGCTCCAATTGCTGTTGGTACAAAATGGACACAAAACTCTTCCAGATTCACTGAGAAGAAAAAACACCATTTACTAGATACCTTCACATCAATCGAGGAAATTATATAGAGTGACTACCAAGAGCAGTCTTTTAGAAAGATTATAAAAAGAAACTCACTGTTCACAAACAAAGACATAAGCTTCGGAGATAGTTAGCCTGTAGAAAAAAGAAAGTTGTTAGTGAAAGTGTTAGTAGATAAAAGAATACTAGGAAGTTGATTAGATAGTTTAAAAGAATAAGGGAAAAAAAGAGAAAAACTACCGACTGAATTCTCAAAGAAAAACAGAAATTTTACCTCAGTTCTTTAATTGCCAGTTCCTTTTTCTTTGCCATCTTTGCAAGCTTTTCGAATTTAAGTAGCAACCTGTCGATTTCTTCGGCGTTAGATTCTTCTTCAGAAGCAGCGCAGTCCTTCAATAAGACGCGTATTTGTCGATCAACAAATAATTAAACATGCCCTAATTATTTTTATTAATTACACCAAATAGCATTAAATTATCCAATCATCAATGAACCATTCACGAATAAGTTTTTCTTAATAAGAAAATGCACTTATCACACAAATCTTTTCACAATTTTCTGTATAATTCACGAACCGAAAGCAAGTTATTTAAAAACGTCTTATCCGAACAAATNGTGAAGTCCTTGAATAAACTCATTTCGCTCTGGAACTTGTCGAGGATGCTTCGGGCTTTAGGTAACAAACAGTGCCATCTCATAATCATTTTTCGCGCTTCTAGAACGTGCCGTTTTGTACTGTCCGAATCTAAACCATTGGTTTTCGTTATTTTGGAATAGGTCTGTTCCAAAACCTCGAACACTGGACCACGCGATTCTAGCTCGTTGATTTGATGTTCGATTTGTGCTATAGCTTTATGTAATTCTTCTTTTGTTGAAAAGTTGTCAACAGATCTGTCCAGTTTAAGTACGGCTTCTTCTTGGGCATTTAGCCACTCGTTGTGTTCTTCGGTGAGTCGACGCAGTTCACAAAGTAATTTTCCAACAAAGGTGATTTTACGTTTCTGTTCCGCCGATGTGCCGCACACGTTCTTCCATCGTTTTTCTATGCTCTGCATGGAAGATGCTATTTGTTCTATGTCGAAGTACATTTTCCAAACGTTCACGTCACTGAGAAGAAGTTCGCACAGGTTTAACACCTCACCGACTTCGCCGCTCTCTTTTTCTATTAATTTTTTGACTTGATCGTGCTTTTCCATCAGTTTATCGATAGATTCTTTGGTACAATTTTCGAATGCTATCGGTTTCGAAAGTTCCAATTCCATTTTGTGCAACCACGCCTTTATTTCTGCGATTTTAAGTTCCAATTGGGACATGGTTTGCGTCATATCGTTGATCTTATTGAGTTTTGATTGACCGACGTTCTCCAGTTGTTGCCACCGTTCTCGCACTTCCTCTACCCTAGACTTTATGTTCTGTTTTGCCACGACATCGCTGTATTCCTCGCCACAAGTCTTGTGCAACTGTTCCCCAGTGGCCAGCAACCAATTGTATTCCCGTTCTTTGAGTGCCATTTCTCCTCTTAGCTCCGTGTCTATTAGTCGAACAGCTTCGTCAGGATCTTGCAAGGGAATGTTTTTCTCCATCGTGTCGGATTCCATTTTTTTGAGTAATTTTTCCGACCAAGTCATGAAGCGCGCCTGTCTCATTTCGAACGTCGTCCTGAGACTCAACTTGTCTTCGTATTTGTGGCATAGGGTAGCCAGTTGATGGTCCAGGTCGCCCTGTTCGTGCCACAACAACCACATGCGTTGATTTATTGTTTTCATATCGAACGGACTAACGCACTCTTTCAGTTGTTCCTGGATAACACCCAGCTGTTCCAGGTCTTTGGTCAGTTCGTTTAGACGAATCCTGGCCTGTCTCAGATTCTCTAAACTGTTGCTGATTCCTGTGTGCGTCGTTTTAGAGTCGTCTATTTGATGAGAATACTCCGCTATTATTTCCCGAACGTTGGAGTAGATTATTTGTACTTTTTTGACTCGTTCTTCGTATTCGTTGACAAGAAGGGCGATTTTGTCGAGGAAGCTGTTCCACGTTTGAAGGCCGGCTTGCAGGTTCGATATCCTTTGTGTTATGGCTGCATGTTCCATTCTGATCGACGTAGATAGCGCTTCATCGCAGAAAGAAACTATGACATCCAGCTGTCTTTGAAGTTGTTCTGATTGATGTTCGCCCAAAGGAATTCTATTAAGTAGGGCTTGGATTCTATTTTGGATCACGGGAACACGCCGAAGATGAATGTAACGCAGTTGTAGACGTTCTCTGTCTTTTTCGATATCTTTTAGCCATGCAAGTAATTTGCTTTGTCCGTTCCTGTACTCTTCCCATTTGTTCAAACGTTCGTTTACTTGCTCGCGTCGGTGTACTATTTTCGCGAGGGTTTCGTTGTGGAGATTGGTTAGTGAATTGAATTTTTCAATGATACTTTCCTCGACGACACCACTTCCCAGTTTTCCACCCGGTTCTTCTGTAGACCTCAGCACGCCCTGTTGGCTCAATAGCAAGTTGTGGTGGATTTCACACAGCTGATTATGCTCTGAAAGACTCTCGAAGTCTCCCGGTATGGATTCGGACAGGAACTGTTGCACGAACAGGATGTATTCCTGCCATAGTTTCAAAACAGCAGCACCGTCTTCGTTTTTGATCAACCTGCTGCTCAATCGATGATACTCTTGGAATGTTTCTCGGAAAACCTGTTGCCAAAGTTTTAAAATTTCTAAAATTGACACATCCGTTTTTGTATAAGGCGCTTCCGATTGTTCGTTTTTCATTTTTTGTATATCTCCTTCCTTTTTACTTAATCCTACCAGATGATCTCTCAGCGATCTCAAATTTTCTTCGACACCCGCGTCGTCTCTCTCAACACTCGTATCTTCCCGAATATCATTCACATACTGCAAGTGAGTATTTAAAAATAAGTATTAATTTTTATTTTGTTAGTTCGTTTTCAGTTATTACCGATTGTACGCTATCCAAGTAATCCTTTGTCTGTCGGAGTTGACCATCGGTGGTATTTTTCGATGTCACATTTTTCTCGGCAATTTCCGCGAGGGATGTGAGCGATTGTCGGACGTCTTGCAAACATTGACCGAGGGCCTCAACTTCTCCCCCAAGGAGCGCCTGGGCGTCCAACCCCACGGCGGACGCGATCTCCGACACCAAACCACGTAGTTCTGACAATCGTTCTAAATGCGATGCAAGAGTTTCTTCGCGAACCTGAATATCATTCCCATATACATAAGTCGACCGTTTAATTTATTTTAAACTTAGCATCATTGTTAGTAAATATTGGATGTATTAACGTCTTATAATTTACCTAGCATGTACCACTCGTACGTGCACATAAGCCGATTGAAATTGATTTCGAATTCGTTTCTAAAATCTGCCAATTTGCTTACACTGACGAAAATTAGTTAGTTAGGTACAAAGTTACGTTACATTTGCCAATTTATCGTTTCCAACACGCGAAAGCAATCATTCGAATTTTTTTTGCGTACCCATCCACTTGCGTGTTTATACGTAGATAAGTATTATCCGAATTTGGCTATACGAAATTAAAAACATAATTCTTGTTAGTCAGTTTGAGTTCTACTTACATTGGATCAAACAAAAGTGATACCACGTATCTTTAAATTACAATTTTTTAATGAACCATTTCTGATATTTTCGAAATGTCAATTATTTCTACTTGGACGCATTAAATAATATCTAACGACAATATATGTGCCTTCAAACTCATTGTAATATAAAAACAATGTACAATAAATATTACAAAGTTCATTGCGCTTTATTTGTTTAATGTTTGCTTAGATACATAAATAACCTTTTAAAATGTTCATAGCACCGCTCATAGATTATGTATGCGCTGCGAAATAGCGCGAAAGTATTCAATAATTAATTAATATTTTCTTAGCTACCTTAATTTCGTCCTGAGTACAGCTACACATTTAAACAAGTGTGTATTTTTTAATTAATGTCTCTATTCAGTTCAAGTTTATACTGCTTTCGCAAAGATAACTTTTTTTTATATTGATATTACACGAACGAACGTTTTGTTTTTTAAACACTAAATTTTCACTTTTTGTCTTAACAGCACACAATAACAATTTAATTATAAACGAGCGATATAGAAACTCAGTCACGATTAAAAATATGCGAGCCAAACATTTTTGGCACGCTCAACGTACAAACTATCAGAACATACACTAGCGTCCGTTTCGAAGTGATTTACATACGTGTGTTATTATTTACACGGTATCGTCTGCCACCCATAAGTAACCGACTGCGAATGTAAGCCTGTCTAAGCGTCTTTGCAAATGAAAATTCAAATATACATAGAGACAGACGGACGTCGAAACCCAACAAATGATATCATGAATGAGAATCGATTTAGATCGGTGAAGATTCTGCGCCAAATTCTTACTATTTTTCGTATATAACAAGAAGTTGTTTCGCCAAACTTTGGTTTCGTCAAAAAGTGAGTACGTACTAGGGGAAGTCCCTTTTCCAAAGACAAAAAAAATTTGATACATGACCCGCCACTGTTTTATAGGAAATGTTTCCAAAAAATTGTTCAGAAGGGTCTTTATATACAAACAATTTATTAATTGTACATTTCCCAGTGAAAATTCTTATCGTTCTTTAAAACCAAATAAACACTCGTTCTATCAAAAAAGCACATAATCAATAGGAAGTTGCACCGCACGATCCAATTAATTTTAATTTAATTATAGCAAAAAAACAAACAAACANGATAAGCGAATAACAAATTAGTAATAGGCCTAAATACGCATCAACAAAAATAAAAAATAACATATATATTACCTTAAGGCGTTATTATTTTTATCAAACACAAATGCCTCGGTTTCGGGGGTGGTACAGTAAATATCGTAAAACGTAAATACAAAGTATTCATAACAGTTTTGACGGAAAATGAACAACTTTGGAGAGAGAAGTTGTTCATTTTCGATTCATTCAAAAAAAAAAAAAAGGAAAGACTAATTAAAAAAAAACCAAGGCATTGATCACAGTACTTATACATTTGCAGCGAACTTTTATTGGTTTTGCGAAAGCTTTTAATCGTAATAATTGGTTATAATATATAGATAATTAATTAATTTGTGGGTAGGTATCGTGTTAAGTTAAATAAAAGAACAGAACCGAAGTAAGCAACGGTATCACACCATATTATAGATACATCATTATATCATATCGCGACATAAATATATAATTGTCGAAACTTTTTCTTATAAAAAGAACCTAACAGCAGTCTCTATAAGTAATATCGAAAAAGAGTCGAAAATAAACTTTTCACCGAGTCATAATTAAATATGAAGTATTATTTATAGTAAAGTATTACGTTAGGAAGGACGAAAAAGAAAAGAAAAGTAAAGAAAACAGTCACTTACTTTAACAAATACAGTATGGAATGGAACAAAAGTAGATACAAGAATCCCAAGTCTTTGTTTCTTTGATCTCAGCTTCTCGTTCTTGTTATTAAAGTGGCGGCGGTCCGTCGTTATACCGGAGCATCGGCGTAAAACTGTTTGCGAAATTGTTAACAAGCAAGCAAGAATAGTCGTCTTGTGTTGTCGGAACTAAAGAAGCCGCTCCCAGAAGCAACAGCATCATCGCTTGTATCGGCAACGAAGCCCTAACGACTCTGCCCAAGAAGTGATAGCTTCTTCGCAAAACGGAAATGCGACTGCCGTCGTCATCCCCTGTATGCCTGTTAGGGACAAAAAGGAACCAAACATGTATCCCAACTTAATCGACAAAATTATCAGTTGTTAGGTAAGCTGAAAATTAGCAACAACGACGCGATAAACCAAAACTACAACAGGAGAAATTCTCCCAACTCGAATGTTAACAAATAAGATCATTTTTTGAAAGGATTACTCGTCCATCGTTCCCCATCAATTTTTTTTAATACGGTACAACCCTCAATAGCGGTCAGTGGAACTGCATCAAAATGTGTAATAAACAACACACAACATTGAAGTAAATTTTCGAAGGAATTGTTTAACATTAATTACTAATTTAAATGTTTAATTATTGTACACTTTACTGCATTCAGAAATAGCCAAGGAGCGACAGTACTCTCTCTCTCTACTATGCAGTGTCCTATGTGCGCATGCACCATTGGAGCTGTGAAGCGCACAGCTCCATTCAAAGTCTTTTATGTCTTTTTCACTAAGTGAGGACTAAGCACTGGCAAACTGTGAAACAACTAAAGCCAAGAGGACTTATTATATTAAACGTTATCTCTAATATCCAGTGGAAATAGGGGATGATGCAGTTTCACGTGGCCCGCCCTTAATGCGTAATAATAAAAGTTGTATCTATTAAAAGCTCATTTTGCATTAAACTGAAAGCTTCGTGAAGAGTGTAATTTTAATAGGCCTAAGCAAAGCAAAAAGAGAAATAATAATAAAAAAAAAAGATATTTACGTGTCATTCGAATCGCCGGGTGCAGGAGATGGGCCTCGCGTCGAACTGGCTTGGTCCAAAAGCTGTCCAAAACGCAAATAAAGGGTGAAATATTTTTGTGCTCCAATCAATGTACAAGCTACGTATTTGTCGATCAACAAATAATCAAACATGCCCTAATTATTTTTATTAATTACACCAAATAATTAAACGATTACAGCGAGCAGGCGAAATGGCACATCTACATCCTGTCTACTTGGTAGGTCATATTGACAAACATTTAATAAAATTATCATTTTACACCATACAACAAGATATTAATTAAACAGCTAACGTTGCACAGCAAACAACAACAAGAACAACATTAAATTATTTCACTGTTTCATTTTTTTTATTATTTTTTTTTGTTCGTATCATTACGTAAGGCTAAAAAATGAAAAAAAAAGAGAATATGGAAAAAACTCACAAGTAAATACGTTCTCGAGCACGATGCACAATAAATAATAAACATACAAATAAGTAGGTAAATAATTATTAACAAGACATTCAAGTAAATAAATATGTACCATGTCATATTCATGTAGATAATTGATAATAATAAAAGATCAACGTTATAATATAACGCATCGGTTTGTCAAACTTACGTCGTAACTTAATGAGTGGAGTGTCGGTCCTGCGGACGTACCAGTCGTTACTGTTACGTCAATTTCGTTGGGGTCGAGACCTAAAGTGGCACCTAATCTCAATATGTAAATTCCCGTTACCCTTATCAGCGATTGCAGTTTTAATTTCAAGTCCGTAAGCCTGGCCATGATAACGTTGCACTCTTCCGGAGCTNGCACAGCTCCATTCAAAGTCTTTTATGTCTTTTTCACTAAGTGAGGACTAAGCACTGGCAAACTGTGAAACAACTAAAGCCAAGAGGACTTATTATATTAAACGTTATCTCTAATATCCAGTGGAAATAGGGGATGATGCAGTTTCACGTGGCCCGCCCTTAATGCGTAATAATAAAAGTTGTATCTATTAAAAGCTCATTTTGCATTAAACTGAAAGCTTCGTGAAGAGTGTAATTTTAATAGGCCTAAGCAAAGCAAAAAGAGAAATAATAATAAAAAAAAAAAAGATATTTACGTGTCATTCGAATCGCCGGGTGCAGGAGATGGGCCTCGCGTCGAACTGGCTTGGTCCAAAAGCTGTCCAAAACGCAAATAAAGGGTGAAATATTTTTGTGCTCCAATCAATGTACAAGCTACGTATTTGTCGATCAACAAATAATCAAACATGCCCTAATTATTTTTATTAATTACACCAAATAATTAAACGATTACAGCGAGCAGGCGAAATGGCACATCTACATCCTGTCTACTTGGTAGGTCATATTGACAAACATTTAATAAAATTATCATTTTACACCATACAACAAGATATTAATTAAACAGCTAACGTTGCACAGCAAACAACAACAAGAACAACATTAAATTATTTCACTGTTTCTTTTTTTTTATTATTTTTTTTTGTTCGTATCATTTCGTAAGGCTAAAAAATGAAAAAAAAAGAGAATATGGAAAAAACTCACAAGTAAATACGTTCTCGAGCACGATGCACAATAAATAATAAACATACAAATAAGTAGGTAAATAATTATTAACAAGACATTCAAGTAAATAAATATGTACCATGTCATATTCATGTAGATAATTGATAATAATAAAAGATCAACGTTATAATATAACGCATCGGTTTGTCAAACTTACGTCGTAACTTAATGAGTGGAGTGTCGGTCCTGCGGACGTACTAGTCGTTACTGTTACGTCAATTTCGTTGGGGTCGAGACCTAAAGTGGCACCTAATCTCAATATGTAAATTCCCGTTACCCTTATCAGCGATTGCAGTTTTAATTTCAAGTCCGTAAGCCTGGCCATGATAACGTTGCACTCTTCCGGAGCTTCTTCCTCGTTAAACACGCCGTTCGCTGCTTCTTGCAAACTTAACACCCTCGGTTCGCACCTCTCCAGTTCCGACTTGAGTTCTCTCAGTTGATTGTATTTCGATTTCAAAATGTCCGAATCGACAGTCAGATCTATCGGCTCCGTCGATCGGATTTGTCGTTCTGTATCTTCAATCCAACCGGTCAATTCGCTGACTATAGAATGAAACTGACGATTCTGTAAGGAATAACGCGAAAAACAATGTTAAACATTACAAAATATTCACTTTCAAATATGTACTCACGTTTAAAAGCGCTTTTTGTAAGATAGTTTGCCAAGCAGCCGCATTCACGCAAATAACGTCCCATCTTGTGTTATTTTTCTCCAGTCTTTCCCTTAATTTATCGGCTTTGTCCGTATCTTCCGTGTGTTCGGCCAAATGATTACCGACAATGTTCAAAGACTTCATTATGCTCATATGGCCTTCAAGATCCAGCAGAAATTCTCTGTGGTCTTGAATCATGTCTTCCAACAGTTCGATGTTCGTTGGAGGAGAATTTTGGGACGATTGAATGCCTTCGGCTGCTTGCAACCACTGTTCCAATCTCCACAGATCGTTGTCCAACTGGCTCCAATTGCTGTTGGTACAAAATGGACACAAAACTCTTCCAGATTCACTGAGAAGAAAAAACACCATTTACTAGATACCTTCACATCAATCGAGGAAATTATATAGAGTGACTACCAAGAGCAGTCTTTTAGAAAGATTATAAAAAGAAACTCACTGTTCACAAACAAAGACATAAGCTTCGGAGATAGTTAGCCTGTAGAAAAAAGAAAGTTGTTAGTGAAAGTGTTAGTAGATAAAAGAATACTAGGAAGTTGATTAGATAGTTTAAAAGAATAAGGGAAAAAAGAGAAAAACTACCGACTGAATTCTAAAAGAAAAACAGAAATTTTACCTCAGTTCTTTAATTGCCAGTTCCTTTTTCTTTGCCATCTTTGCAAGCTTTTCGAATTTAAGTAGCAACCTGTCGATTTCTTCGGCGTTAGATTCTTCTTCAGAAGCAGCGCAGTCCTTCAGTAAGACGTCTCTGAGATGTTTAACCAGTTCTGTTGATGACTGGCATGCAGCTGTCAATTTTGCAACAAGTTTACCATCAGAATGTAACTCGGGAGATCCTTTTTGTGGTATATCTTTCTGGATGGCGTCTTCTAAATCGTTCATGTTGTGTTTCAGTTCATCGAGAGCGGTAGACAACTCCATAACGTAAGCATCTTTGGCAGTTATAGAAGTCATTCTTTGTAGTTTTGGCGGTAAAGTATTTACTTGTACGGCAATATCTTGTTCGAATTTAAGCGTTTCTACTTGGACAGATTCGTCAGCTATTTGTTTGCTCTTCTCTGCTACCTTCTGGCGCAGATCAGACTTGAGGGTGATTATTTTTTGTTGAATATTTTTCCATAAAACTTGATATTCGTCGATCATTTCTTGGACGCTCGACGCAGTTTCCTTTCTGTGCTTTTCCATAATCAGGAGACCCAACCGGTCCGCATTTTCCAATGTTTCATTCTGGGTGTTCAAGATGTCCTCTATTTTCTCCAATTCCGCCAGTTGTTGTGCCGGAAATTCTTGAAGTTCAGGCGACGAAAGGTGCTCCAGTTCCACTATTTTGGCATCGATCCTGGTGAGTGCCATTACAGCGTTTCCATGAGCGTCAGTGAAGTCCTTGAATAAACTCATTTCGCTCTGGAACTTGTCGAGGATGCTTCGGGCTTTAGGTAACAAACAGTGCCATCTCATAATCATTTTTCGCGCTTCTAGAACGTGCCGTTTTGTACTGTCCGAATCTAAACCATTGGTTTTCGTTATTTTGGAATAGGTCTGTTCCAAAACCTCGAACACTGGACCACGCGATTCTAGCTCGTTGATTTGATGTTCGATTTGTGCTATAGCTTTATGTAATTCTTCTTTTGTTGAAAAGTTGTCAACAGATCTGTCCAGTTTAAGTACGGCTTCTTCTTGGGCATTTAGCCACTCGTTGTGTTCTTCGGTGAGTCGACGCAGTTCACAAAGTAATTTTCCAACAAAGGTGATTTTACGTTTCTGTTCCGCCGATGTGCCGCACACGTTCTTCCATCGTTTTTCTATGCTCTGCATGGAAGATGCTATTTGTTCTATGTCGAAGTACATTTTCCAAACGTTCACGTCACTGAGAAGAAGTTCGCACAGGTTTAACACCTCACCGACTTCGCCGCTCTCTTTTTCTATTAATTTTTTGACTTGATCGTGCTTTTCCATCAGTTTATCGATAGATTCTTTGGTACAATTTTCGAATGCTATCGGTTTCGAAAGTTCCAATTCCATTTTGTGCAACCACGCCTTTATTTCTGCGATTTTAAGTTCCAATTGGGACATGGTTTGCGTCATATCGTTGATCTTATTGAGTTTTGATTGACCGACGTTCTCCAGTTGTTGCCACCGTTCTCGCACTTCCTCTACCCTAGACTTTATGTTCTGTTTTGCCACGACATCGCTGTATTCCTCGCCACAAGTCTTGTGCAACTGTTCCCCAGTGGCCAGCAACCAATTGTATTCCCGTTCTTTGAGTGCCATTTCTCCTCTTAGCTCCGTGTCTATTAGTCGAACAGCTTCGTCAGGATCTTGCAAGGGAATGTTTTTCTCCATCGTGTCGGATTCCATTTTTTTGAGTAATTTTTCCGACCAAGTCATGAAGCGCGCCTGTCTCATTTCGAACGTCGTCCTGAGACTCAACTTGTCTTCGTATTTGTGGCATAGGGTAGCCAGTTGATGGTCCAGGTCGCCCTGTTCGTGCCACAACAACCACATGCGTTGATTTATTGTTTTCATATCGAACGGACTAACGCACTCTTTCAGTTGTTCCTGGATAACACCCAGCTGTTCCAGGTCTTTGGTCAGTTCGTTTAGACGAATCCTGGCCTGTCTCAGATTCTCTAAACTGTTGCTGATTCCTGTGTGCGTCGTTTTAGAGTCGTCTATTTGATGAGAATACTCCGCTATTATTTCCCGAACGTTGGAGTAGATTATTTGTACTTTTTTGACTCGTTCTTCGTATTCGTTGACAAGAAGGGCGATTTTGTCGAGGAAGCTGTTCCACGTTTGAAGGCCGGCTTGCAGGTTCGATATCCTTTGTGTTATGGCTGCATGTTCCATTCTGATCGACGTAGATAGCGCTTCATCGCAGAAAGAAACTATGACATCCAGCTGTCTTTGAAGTTGTTCTGATTGATGTTCGCCCAAAGGAATTCTATTAAGTAGGGCTTGGATTCTATTTTGGATCACGGGAACACGCCGAAGATGAATGTAACGCAGTTGTAGACGTTCTCTGTCTTTTTCGATATCTTTTAGCCATGCAAGTAATTTGCTTTGTCCGTTCCTGTACTCTTCCCATTTGTTCAAACGTTCGTTTACTTGCTCGCGTCGGTGTACTATTTTCGCGAGGGTTTCGTTGTGGAGATTGGTTAGTGAATTGAATTTTTCAATGATACTTTCCTCGACGACACCACTTCCCAGTTTTCCACCCGGTTCTTCTGTAGACCTCAGCACGCCCTGTTGGCTCAATAGCAAGTTGTGGTGGATTTCACACAGCTGATTATGCTCTGAAAGACTCTCGAAGTCTCCCGGTATGGATTCGGACAGGAACTGTTGCACGAACAGGATGTATTCCTGCCATAGTTTCAAAACAGCAGCACCGTCTTCGTTTTTGATCAACCTGCTGCTCAATCGATGATACTCTTGGAATGTTTCTCGGAAAACCTGTTGCCAAAGTTTTAAAATTTCTAAAATTGACACATCCGTTTTTGTATAAGGCGCTTCCGATTGTTCGTTTTTCATTTTTTGTATATCTCCTTCCTTTTTACTTAATCCTACCAGATGATCTCTCAGCGATCTCAAATTTTCTTCGACACCCGCGTCGTCTCTCTCAACACTCGTATCTTCCCGAATATCATTCACATACTGCAAGTGAGTATTTAAAAATAAGTATTAATTTTTATTTTGTTAGTTCGTTTTCAGTTATTACCGATTGTACGCTATCCAAGTAATCCTTTGTCTGTCGGAGTTGACCATCGGTGGTATTTTTCGATGTCACATTTTTCTCGGCAATTTCCGCGAGGGATGTGAGCGATTGTCGGACGTCTTGCAAACATTGACCGAGGGCCTCAACTTCTCCCCCAAGGAGCGCCTGGGCGTCCAACCCCACGGCGGACGCGATCTCCGACACCAAACCACGTAGTTCTGACAATCGTTCTAAATGCGATGCAAGAGTTTCTTCGCGAACCTGAATATCATTCCCATATACATAAGTCGACCGTTTAATTTATTTTAAACTTAGCATCATTGTTAGTAAATATTGGATGTATTAACGTCTTATAATTTACCTAGCATGTACCACTCGTACGTGCACATAAGCCGATTGAAATTGATTTCGAATTCGTTTCTAAAATCTGCCAATTTGCTTACACTGACGAAAATTAGTTAGTTAGGTACAAAGTTACGTTACATTTGCCAATTTATCGTTTCCAACACGCGAAAGCAATCATTCGAATTTTTTTTGCGTACCCATCCACTTGCGTGTTTATACGTAGATAAGTATTATCCGAATTTGGCTATACGAAATTAAAAACATAATTCTTGTTAGTCAGTTTGAGTTCTACTTACATTGGATCAAACAAAAGTGATACCACGTATCTTTAAATTACAATTTTTTAATGAACCATTTCTGATATTTTCGAAATGTCAATTATTTCTACTTGGACGCATTAAATAATATCTAACGACAATATATGTGCCTTCAAACTCATTGTAATATAAAAACAATGTACAATAAATATTACAAAGTTCATTGCGCTTTATTTGTTTAATGTTTGCTTAGATACATAAATAACCTTTTAAAATGTTCATAGCACCGCTCATAGATTATGTATGCGCTGCGAAATAGCGCGAAAGTATTCAATAATTAATTAATATTTTCTTAGCTACCTTAATTTCGTCCTGAGTACAGCTACACATTTAAACAAGTGTGTATTTTTTAATTAATGTCTCTATTCAGTTCAAGTTTATACTGCTTTCGCAAAGATAACTTTTTTTTATATTGATATTACACGAACGAACGTTTTGTTTTTTAAACACTAAATTTTCACTTTTTGTCTTAACAGCACACAATAACAATTTAATTATAAACGAGCGATATAGAAACTCAGTCACGATTAAAAATATGCGAGCCAAACATTTTTGGCACGCTCAACGTACAAACTATCAGAACATACACTAGCGTCCGTTTCGAAGTGATTTACATACGTGTGTTATTATTTACACGGTATCGTCTGCCACCCATAAGTAACCGACTGCGAATGTAAGCCTGTCTAAGCGTCTTTGCAAATGAAAATTCAAATATACATAGAGACAGACGGACGTCGAAACCCAACAAATGATATCATGAATGAGAATCGATTTAGATCGGTGAAGATTCTGCGCCAAATTCTTACTATTTTTCGTATATAACAAGAAGTTGTTTCGCCAAACTTTGGTTTCGTCAAAAAGTGAGTACGTACTAGGGGAAGTCCCTTTTCCAAAGACAAAAAAAATTTGATACATGACCCGCCACTGTTTTATAGGAAATGTTTCCAAAAAATTGTTCAGAAGGGTCTTTATATACAAACAATTTATTAATTGTACATTTCCCAGTGAAAATTCTTATCGTTCTTTAAAACCAAATAAACACTCGTTCTATCAAAAAAGCACATAATCAATAGGAAGTTACACCGCACGATCCAATTAATTTTAATTTAATTATAGCAAAAAAACAAACAAACATCAAATGCCTCCAATAATCGGCATAAAATATTAGAATAAATTTTGTCGTCCTAGTTTCAAAACTAGAATTTTTCTCTCTAATTCTAACGATGATGTTATTGTTTGAACTGTATCCCCATTTATCTGAGTTTTAGGTAATATATATTATATACTTGGCTAATGATATTGACGAAGTAAATAATGATAACATATTCAACAGAGGTCTTGCTTATTAGATAACAATTTTACAGCGTTGTTGTTTACGAAACGTGGTATCAAAATTGTTTATTTGTTTATGACACAATTGTCCAAGAAGTATTTCGACGACCATCATTAAAAGCATATTATAAACACAATAATATATTTAATTCGAATTATGTAAAAATCCTACCTTTACCGCCTCGATGTTATCGCCTTTCTCTTCGAGGTTTCCAACTTGTTCCATTTGGGCATCGCACCATTCGCGCACCAAATCACTAGCTTCTTTGTATCTCTTCCACAACTCCGTTGCATGTTGATAACGATTACACAGTTCTTTCAAATTGGTACACGTATCTTCCCATGCTGTCACAGCCTCTTCGACTGCTGCCTCGATCTTCGCACTGACTTCCGGTGCACAGCTCGTTGACAAAGGTTCTGCGGCTGACTTTAACTCTGCTATCAAGGTCTCTCTACTACTGAGATCGCCCGACAATCCCTGCATAAAAAAAACAATCACTCTTTCAAGTTGAGCGAAACAGAAGACGAAATCTTTTTCCTTACCTCTAATCTTTCTGTGGCTTTCCTTAGTCTTTCGTAATCCACTTGTCCTTGCACAGTGAACAGGTCCATCATGAAATCTGCTTCGTGCACGCTCTGTTGTACCAGTTCCAGTTGTTTCTCGAATCGCTGCCAAAGAACCATCCTGCTTCTTAACAAGGCCAAAAGGTGTCCACATCGTTTTTCTAAAGCCGTATGGTCGTCTTGCAACTGTGAGATATCCCTTTCGACTTTTATCGGAGATACAGTGACCCTCAGTCTCATGGGAAGAGTATGTAACAGTTGACGTAAACCCATAAGGTCTTGCCAAAGAGTTACCAATTCTTCGCCAACTTCTGTACAATCCATGACGGCTTTTTCGACAGCTTCGCTGCCGAGCTTCTCGGCGCTTTCGCACCTGTCCAAGGTTTCCGTTGCCTGAGCATGATGTCGTCTGACTCTCGACAAGCCTTTCTTTATTTGTAACAGACGTTCCTTGAGTATTGTACTTCCGTCATATTCTTCGGCTATTTGGACTTCTAAGCTCTTGGACAATGTGAACAGATTACCGACCTTTTCCGATTCGTTTGCCGACAGCAATCCTAAACGACCAAGTTCGTTTTGAATTGTTCTCAGTCTTTCAGACATCAACTGTAACCTTTCGATGTACAGGTTCAATTCTTCTTCGGTTTTTATAACTCCTTGCAAACTCTCCAAATCGGACTTTAGGTCGTTCAGTTCTTTTTCTAGGAGTGCTAATTTTTCGGTAACTGGTACGTCGGGTGCGGAAATGTTATCAATTATTGCCGTCTTCATGTCTCCTATAGATTTCGATATTACTTGCCACTGATTAAGCAAATCGGAATGGAATTTACGTTGCAACATTTCATCTGCAACCGGTATTATTTGCATCGATTTCTCCAACGCATTTGTCGATTCCAGGCGGACGTTGTTTTGAACTTCATGTTGAGCTTTTAATTCCTATAATAAAATATAAAAACCAAGTCAATAAAAATGAAATATTTACGTATCTAATTATCATCTCTTACCCAGAATTGTCTCATATAGCGAGGAGTGGGCACCAACGAGTCGGGGAGTGTCTCTATTTGCATCAGTTCTTGTTCTGCTTCTTTGAGCCAATATTCCAATTTGTCACTCAGTAGATTGTACGTTGACCAGTTTTCTCTGAACGCGGTCAATCTTTTCAAATTGAAATTCACATCGTCTTGTAATTTGGACAATATTTCCAATGCACCCACATACGTCTGTTCTAATCCAGAACAGTGTACCAGATCTTGTAGTTTGTGCGCCATGTTGCTGAGCTGGGTGAGTTTGGCTTGATGATGAGAAATGTCGAGTGACAATGACGTAAAGAGGTTGATGTACTGGTCAAAGTCTACGGAAGTGACACTGGACAAATCGGGAACCCTCTGTTGAGCGACTTGCAACCATTTCGATTCTTCCTTCATTCCCTGTTCCAATATGTGCCATGTGGCTGCGGCCGAAGTCATTTGTTGAACTCTGCCGGAAGCTTTGTCGATTATTAGGCTGGCTCTTTGGTACAAGCTTTGATGCAATACAGAATGCTGCATCTTCGTTTCCTGATCCAGGTTTTCTTCTAAAGATTCTAAAATTGCTCTGCAATGGCTTAAGTTGACGAAGAATTTCCGGTGGTTCTGCATTTCTTCTTCCAAGTTCTCCAGGCTGTTTACGGAAATCGTGCTTTCAACGAGAGCTTCGGCTATCTCGATTATCTGAGCGAATTCTTGAAGGGTTTGAACGTATTCTTCGGCTAACGCCAGAAGTTGTAGAGTCTTTTCACGCTCGCTGAGTATGCAGATGTCTAATTGTTTGGTAATATCGTGATTCGAATAAACCTCTTGAGGAATCTCTTGAGATGGAAAATCACGCATTAGGCCTTTTGCCAATGTTATTAAGTGGCTGCATTTGAGCATATGGGAACGATTATCGTTTTCGAGACGTTCTAAATCGTTCAACTTGGACGCTGGAGAAGCATCAGATTCGATGAGGTAATTGAACTCCTTCTTTAGTTCCAACACATTTTGACTTACATTCTCAATTTCGCAAATAAATTCGTTCCATCGTTCCAGGTCATTAGCTGTCAGACGTTCGTTTTCATTTGTGATTTCTTCAATGAGTTTGATCTGTTTTTGTAAACTATCGACGTTTTCGCATATCTGTTCCCGTTCGTTTTCGTTATAAATATCATGCGTGTTGTCGAGAGCATTCTGTAATTGGTTCATGTTGTTCTCAATGCTCGTAATTTCACTTTTTAGTTCATCGAATTCTTGCAGCCTTTCTATAGATGGTCCATCAATAACTTGTTGTCTGTTAAGGTATATTCGATATTCTATCGTTTTTAACCACGTTGTTATCTCGTCGACGGTTGTGATAACAGTAACCTGTATCGTTTCGGTATCTTTGGAGTCGATGGCAGTTCGTAATTTATCTAGTTGCTCTTGAATGTTGTCGTTCCTTTGTTTTATGGATTCCTCAGTAACAGTTTCGTGCAGAGTTGCAAGATGAAGAACGTCACTCAAATGCGTTGTTCGGGAAGCGTTCTGAAGATTCTTCAAACGTTCAATCGCCTGCGCACTGGTCCATTTAACATCCAGTTCTTTTATTATGTTTCGCTGTATTTGTTGTGGTGATTCTCCGTAGACCTTTTCGCTTTCAATAAGGAGATGGGAAGGTTCTGAAGCTCGAACCCATGATATTGTTTCTTTGGATTGATTCTTGGCAAACGAAACAGAATCACTGGTGGGTGTTATGGGTACATCACTCGATTCCGTTGGAGATAACACTTCTTCTATTGTTACAGAAGTTGGTGGTTTAGATTTTGATTTCCGTTTGGATGGTTTCGGCGGTTTAGTTTTACCGGCTGTGGCTTCACTCTCTTTTGCACTGTCTGCTATTATACGAGAAGGTTCAACATCAATTTCTTTGCTGATTTCTACAGATATTTGCTTTTCCGGTTGTGGCAATAATTCAGACGCCTGATTTCTTTCACTATCAATAAACGACACAATACTGTTCGTATCAGGTGTTACTTTTGACGGTTGCTTCTTGTAAACCAAATCTTCTTTTGCCTTAGCATCTTCTACAGCAGGGACTGTTGTTTCTTCAGCGGGTGTTAAGAAAGTTTCCAGAGCGCATTCCACGCTGATTGTATCTCCACCAAATGAAATTATTTCTTTTGTCTTCTCCACCCTACTATCCTTATCTCTTCCTTCGTCTCTTGTGGAATGCTGTTGAATATCAACCGATTGGCCTACTTTCTCGTCTGATAATTGCGAAACGTCTTCCTTCACTATTGGGTAATGCACCGTTGGTTCTGGAGAAGGCTCTCGAGAACCCCTCTTGACAATGTCTGCATAAAGGAGATCCGCAGACGATCCTGGAGGAACAAACGAAGGCGACACTCCTGGAATTTCTTCGAATTTAGTAGTTGGAGTTTCTTCCACAGGCTTTTGTTCGTGTTTTCTCTTCCTTCGTTTGTGTCCTCTCTTTGAAGACGTATCTTTATTTATGTCAGAATCAACGGAAATATCAATTGATACTACCTCATCATTTTCAATGGGGCCTGCTACAGATATTGCTTGTTGTTTTTCTTTACTGTCATGCAAAACAGGGAAACCGGGTTCATTACTATTGTCTACTGGTTCCGAAGGTATGACCACAGAAGCTTCAACGTGAATCTCGTACGGTTCTTCGCTTGAAGGAGATGTACTCGAAGAAATGTCGTTTCTACCGATGATCACAGGCTCCGTTTGGGAATCTGTCGTGGTAATTTCTATAGCCTTTTGGGGCTCTTGAATTACAGAGATAGAGGGAGAAGTTTGTTCAATCTCGTCAATAAGAACAATTTCTGGAGTTGGGGATGTCTGCATCGGCTTTTCTGAAGTTTCCACTTTGGATTCTATTACATGTTCCGGAGATGTTTGAACGGAGAGTGACGCTTGTTCTGGCTTCTGATCTATCGAAGCAGTTTGAGTAACTTCAGGTTCAGGTATTGGAGAAGTCTGCACAGATTCCGTGGCGGTAACTTCTAAAGAAGTTTGAGTGAATGAAGTCGTACTTTGCGCTTCTCTATCGTCTTGTTTTGGTTCCGAGATAATTTGAGTTTCTTCAAGAAATAGTGGAGGAGACGTTTCCACTGATACTAAACTTGGCTTCTCTTGAATTCCTACGGTAACCATATCCAATTTTTGTACTTTATCGTTATCAGGTGTTGCAGTCTGGACAGTCACTTCGCTATAATCGACTTGCGAAGTTTGCATCGCCGATTCCGTCTTGGGAACGCCCGGTATGTCAACTACTGTTTCAACATGACCTCCTAAACCTTCAATTTTACTAGGCACCTCAACAGTTTGGGCAGATTGTTCGGAAACGGATGCTTCCATTTTTTCTGGGGTTGTAGTTTGAGTATTGGCTTCGGTTATGTCAATTTCGACTTGACTAAAGGATTCCCTCAACTCTGCCTGTTCCGGAGCAACAGATTTTGATTCAGGTGCTTCTTCAAGACTTGTCTGAGTGGAAAGCTCAACTGTTTCGGGCAGAATTTCGGGAGACGTTTGGACAGATAATGGCACCAATTGGACGGATTCTGAAGGAATTTCTTTCGGCAACTCGACATTATCTAACGGTGAGGTTTGAGTAAGTGTTTCTTGAGTCGCTACCATTTCTACAACGGGCACAGTAGTTACAAGTTTAGATGCAATGGATTCGAGTGATTCGCTTGATGGTCTCGATGGAATGCCCTGTTCGATTACTTTTACTGACTCTGTATCGTCAGAAGGTGAGAATGTTTTGAAAGAATCTTGGATTGAAGGAATCTCTTCCGAATTGGGTAAATTAATTTCAGCCTCTTGCGGCACTTCGCGAGGTAATTGGTCGATACGTTCAGGTTCAGACTTTGACGCCTCTTTGACTTCCTTGGTTTCACTTATAGCTTCAGGAGTTGACCTCTTCTCTGCGTGGGACTCGACAGACGGCGATTCTTCCAATTTCTTAGACTTATGTTTCTGCTTTCTTTTCTTTTTGCGTTTTTTCTTGCTCTCTGTATCTTCATCCAATAAACTATCGTCAACAGTTGTTTTGTCTTCTGGCTCATAACCAGTGTCTTGTTCAATGTCTGATAATTCTTCAGTAGTTTTATCGACCGAAGATTCAATAGCTAGAGCTTCAATTGTTGGTTGAGGTGTTTCGGTTAATTGTGGCTCCGCTTCAGGAAAATCGATTTCGACAGACTGTACTAGCGATGTCGAAAAGGATGCTGTTTCGTCTTCTTCTGATTTAGTTTGGCTATCTGCTTTTACGTTGCCTTTATGTTTTTTCTTCTTTCTGCCCTTTCGTTTGCCATACTCTATTTCGCTGGATGTTAATATTTCTTCCGGAATGTCCTCGACTTTTGGAATAATTTGTTCTGTTGGAGTGTCGGGTTTGGCAATTTTCTTTTCTTTTGTGGTGGGTAATTCGACAAAAATATCTGTGTTGGTGGCCTCCGCTTCGGGTTGTCGTTCGTCCATCTTACGGGCAAAAGATATTGATGGAGTAACCGCTTTTTCTCCAAAGGTCTTCTCTTCTAACGACAGGAAGATTTCGACTTCTTTAGGAATATTTTTCACTTTATCAGCAGTTTTATCATCCTTGTCATGAACGACAGCAATGTTTTGTTCACTTTCTATAAACCTGGCAGTTATATTATCAGTTAATAGTTGTTTTTCTATTATAGAACCATTAAAAGCAATCCCCTCTTCAACATTTTCTGACTTTGTCACATCTTCTACAATTGGCTGAGATGGAGACTCATCGAACTTTTCTTTCTTAATAGTAATAGTTTCTTTAGCTGTGATATCAGAAGGTGGTTGGTCCTTAACGGGTTTAGTTTCTGCAGGAGTCAATTTTTCTGTTGTAACCGGGTCTTTTATTGGTTCTTTTATGGTTATATCTGCTGTTTCACTGAAAACCGTAACATCATGAATCGCATCATCAGGAACGATAACTTCGGTCCCAATAACAGGAAGTGGTTCGTCCTTAATGGTTTTAGTTACTACGGGAGTCAATTTTTCTGTTGTAACCACATCTTTTGTTGGTTCTTTGGTGGTTATATCTGCTGTTTCACTAAAAACCGAAACATCATGGATCGCATCATCACGAACGATAACTTCAGTCCCAATAACAGGAAGTGGTTCATCCTTAATGGTTTTAGTTACTACAGGAGTCAACTTTTCTATTATAACCACATCTTTTGTTGGTTCTTTTGTGGTTATATCTGCTGTTTCACTGAAAACCGTAACATCATGGATCGCATCATCAGGAACGGTAACTTCAGTCCTAACAACAAAAAGTGGTTGGTCCTTAGTGGGTTTAGTTTCTACAAGAGTTATTTTTTCTGTTTCAACTGCATCTTCTGTTCGTTCTTTTGTAGTTGTATCCACTGTTTCACTGGAAACCGTAACTTCATGGATCACATCAGGAACAACTTGAGATTCTTCAGCTACGATCGCTGTCTGTTCTAAGACATTCATTAATGGTCTTTCTACTTGTGTCGCATCAAGTGCAATTAGTGTTTCAGGAATTTCTTTTGTTTTAATCTCGTCGACAGTTTCTGGAAAAATTACGCGACTATCGATTTTATCAGTTACTGTCAAACTCTTTGGCACTTGTCGACTAGTAGTTTCTAATGTGACTAAATTTTGGGTCGATTTTGCGTTGGTTTGATCATCGGCCTCTCTGTCAGTCTTTATTTGTTCTACAACTACTTCTGAAATTGGTTCTACCGTATCAGGAATACTTTTCAAATGGTCTACGTGCAATTTTTCATTTTCTAAAAACAGTTCTACGTTACTGATGCTGCCTAAGACATGCTTATCGTGCAACTGTTCGGATTCAAGCAAACTAACTGTGGTAGACTTATCTTTTTCGTCTTGTTCATTTGTGACGACACCTCTACTAGAAATTTCCTCTGAAATGATTTCAATCGGTTCAATTACAGATATTACGGGTGCGGTTTTAGTTTCAAGTGCATCATGTTTCGAATCATCTACCACGTACCTCTCGTCGTCTTCAGACTTTTTCTGAGACGTTTCAAGAGTTTCGGAAACAACTTTCGAACCAGGTTCCGTCGTGAACTTAAGAGTCTCTTGTTGATTTATTTCAGTGGCTTGACCAACATCTTGAGTCCTGTATACGTTTATACTAATCCTCGGTATTCCCTCTTCTGTGACTTCAACTTCTTCCGGCTCTTCGACCACTTCCTCGGTCACTTGTTCCTTGCCGTCGATGATAACTGTTCTCCTTATTATCCTCCGGGTTTTTCTGATGACTTTTCTCGTGACGTGCTGCACAACTGCTTTCACTGTTGAACTGCTGGTGTGTATGTGTTCCCCGGCTTGTAAGAACTCAAGACTTTCTTGCGGGAGTGGTATATTTTGACGACCGTCTTCGAAACTCAGGTAGGCTGCTGAGCCTTTTTCATCTTGAGGTTCTTCGACCGTGTAATATTGTTCCGGTTCCGATTGAAATTCCTGGACGGTAACTTGACCGCCGGCTACTCCAGACATTAACTTCCCTTCGTAATTCTGGGTTGTTAATGTTTCAGTCTTTCCGTCTGGCTTTTGTGTGGTAACGTTGCTTTGTTGCCCTTCCAACGTTACTTGCGAAAACGAATGTTCTGTGGGCTTTTTGGCATCTGTTTCCACATAGGAATGCAGCGACGTGACTTCTCGAACAGTTTGCTTCCTAGAAACGATTGTTTTACGTTGTTTTTTGACAATTATCCTTTTGGTTCCGTCCGCATCCACAATAACTTCGGTTGTGGTTTCGTCCGGTTCCACCAGAATTGTTTCAAACGGTTTATCTTTCTTCGAGTGTAAGATATTTATTTCGGTTTTGTTATCATTCATTTGTGGGGATTTTTGTTCTTTCCTTTCGGTATAATCTGCTTTAACGACAAGATCTTCGTCGAGCGGATGAGAGGATTGTTTCGGTGCTGTAAGTATTTGGATTGTTTCCTGGTTCCCGGTTATCTTCTTCGATATGGTGATTTGTTCTTTTTCGGGCGGCTGGGTGTCATTATCCGAACTGGGGCTTTTCGTTTGAGTTTGAACATCAACGGGTGGTACGCATGTAACACCGGCGCTTTTCGTTCTCTTCGGTTTCTTTACAACAGGTGAAGATGACAACAGACTGGATCCCGTTTGGGTTTCGATGGCGACACCTTTCACAACATCTTCTTTACTTTTAATTTCCGTTGACCTTTTCGTATCCATATCCACATGTATGCCAAGTTCATCAACTGGCATAGAGCTGGAATCCAACGTGTTGTCAGATATGTCAGGACTCCTAACAGTGCGTAACCGTTTTTGGACAATTTCTTCTTCTAACCGACGTATTACTGTAACAATCGTTAATTCTTCTTCGTCGAAGATTATCAGCAAACTTTCTAGATGCTCGCGTAATTCTTGAGCCAATTGTTTTAGTTCCGGATGAGAATTGTTAAATTCCTCACAGACCGAGTACAATTTCGGGAATTGCTTCCGTTTCTCGTCTAGTTCGCGATGTAACTCCTTCAAACGAATGATGTCATCGTCAGGTTTGTGTTCCGCACTGTCGGACAAAATTTGTGTCAGGGAGTGACGCGCTGTTTGGAGCCAAAGTTCTAACTCATTGAGGAATTCTTGATACCCGATCAGCTGGTGTTGTTTAGCTGTTTGCGTCTCCTTTGCAATCTAATATTAATCAATACTAAAATTAGGACGGTTTGAAAAAAGATTCGCCGATTAAATTAGGTCGCACGTTAAGTATGAGAAGGCTCGGAACAATTTAAAATTTCTATACACCGAAATGTATAAGCTTTTGTTTTGTTTGACATTTACAAATAGCCTAGTTAAGGATTCGATTTATTATTTACAATTTATTTTCCTTTGAGTGATTTTTGAAAAGAATTCCAAAACTTTGGCATTCCGTTTATATTTATCGTTATTAATTTGTTCAAATTGCATTACACAAGCAATAAAATTAGACATTAACACACTTATTTGCAAACAGATATGTAAATAAAAATTGCGACATCATTCGACTTGCCGTGATCACAAGCATTTTTTTTTTGCAATTAGCTTAATCTTATTTTACCTTTAATGCGTTAATTCCGTTATTAGTTTGGGAAAGTAGGGTTGCAATTCTTGTCCTAATATCCACCAAATGCGCCGACAATTCACAAATGTCGCTGTCCGATGGTAACTTGAGGATTAAATTTTCCAAACGAATTGCTTCCGTTGAATAAATTTTTAAATCCGCAAATATTTCCTAAAGTAAAACGTTTCCTTAAAACTACACAATTAAGTTAAAAAGCTTTTGGTTTCTATTAAAGGGACAAACATTCACTTTCTGTTATGTTATTAAATTGTACTATTACACTAACAATCACAATAAACAAACACTTTTCTCTTTGCTAGAACTGTTGCGTCCGATCGTCAAACACACGAATTCTTTATGAAACGTTGACGGCTATGCGGTGCGCTTTAATGATATGCAAATGCAAATTAACAAAAGTAAAAAAAAAACTGAGATGATAGCATCATTCACCGCAAATACCATGCTCACGTAACTTTACGAGAAATACGCCGCCGGTGTTTCAAGCGGTAATAATTTATTATTAAACTGACCGCTTGATTGTCGAATTTTATTAGAACGTTCCAGCCTTGAAACAATTTCTAATTTTAAACTAAATCTCTGGCTTGATGTCACCAACTCATGACTGTTCTCTGTCCCATTGACGATGATTAACATTCTTTTTTTTTTGTTCGAGAGTATTGTTTCGACGCCAATTAATTTGTTTCAATTAATTAGACGCCGATAAGCGCCGCAATTACCTACCTGCCTTTTTATGCTCTCTCAATAAAAATAACAAACGAAATAAAAATAATTGTTAAAACATTTCCTCGTTCTGTTGTTGGTAAATATACCTGCACGCCTACAACAGTTTTTATCGTGGTGATTTTTTAAAAGCTATTGTTAAGTTTATTGGAATCGTTAAAACGGTGAAAATGTTTATCCCTTTCTTTTTAAATACACGTACTATAAAAACTACTTACCAAAAGAGCGTTCAAGATTGAATCTAAATCGTGTTGAGGTAGATGCAAAGCTAAATCTTCTGTTTTCCGCAGGGCTTCCCTTAAACTGTCCAATTCAATTGACATCTACAAAATATACAATTGTCAGTGACACCATAGGTTAATTTACTTTTTTTTATGGTTTATTAAAACATCAAAGGGGCCCAAATTATTTTAAAGTAATTTCAGGAAAAACGAACATGCACAAAAATATATGGATTTAAATCAAGTAAAGTTATAGTCATTCGTAATATTAGTTGTTAAATATACTTAATAATGCACTATTCGGAATGAACTTGTTAAAACAGCTATTAGTACACAGCAAACAATCGACACTTTAAAAGAAAATAATAAAAATTAATGACTAATGGCTACATTGTTAAAAAATAATTGATGAATCAGAATTCTCGGTGAATACCTAATCAAAATATTACTATTGAAGTTTTCATTTACTTGACAATGGAAAGTAGAACAAATCTACAGTTAAAATATCGATACAGAACAACAAATGATGACAATCAATTAAATTCTTTAGCAAGCTATTTAGTTTCTATAAATCAATCAAACGAAATTGAATTCCAATAAGACAATAGACAGGTAAATCGTAACACATAAAAGTAACTCTGATTTTTTTTTTTTAATATTAGTTAGTGCATGTATAGATTAATAGAAAAGCATGCTCAATCGATGACAAACACTCGGAAAACACTACAATTTTCGTCAAATCGCAATCATCACCTTTTGAATGTCCGATGATTCGCATGCGCCATCTTCAAGTGATGACCTGTCATCTGGAGGTGAAGGTAATTGAATATTGTGAGGCCCTAAGGATTGGGAATTGATTTGGGATTCGGTCAATGTCGTTGTTGAGTCTGTACCGTTTATTGGTGGTTTTATAAAGTCGTTTGTGGGTAATTTTATTGACTGCTTATCTTTTTGCTCATCGCTGTCGTAAAAGATAGCCCTTTGAGAAAAAGGTTTTACGTTTTCGACGGCAATTTTAGTACGTTGTGGTTTCAACTCGTCAACGGATACGACAACAAACTCGTCTTCATAAAAATCTTTTCTTTTACTTTTTGGTTTCTTTTCTTTATTGTACGAAAATATTTCTGTATCGCTTATTACATTTACATCAACGCTAGGTTGATCTGGCGTTGATTGACGACCAGCAAAATATTTTATCCAATTGGATTCAGCTCTGTTATACTCCAAAATGTTGTAATAGAGTTCTGATCCGATGTCAGATCCAAACTCTAAACCAGGGGAGTTTGCTGAATCGCCAGCGCGTTCGTTAGATTCCAAAGATAGGTAAGTACTTTGGTCTTTCCATCTACATAAACCTCCAGGTAAATCTGCGTAATCGTAACTGTTTTCAGACGAATTTGGCGACTCCTGTTGGCCGAATTTGTCGCCGCTATCGGAACTAGGAGAACAACTTCTCCCGCTCGAATTGCCGCCGTCTTTGTCGTCATGTTGATCTTCAATGTTATCCTTTTTTATAATGTCTGACTTTTTCACAGGCTTGTTGGCCTTTGCTAGAAATGTTTGCCAATTGCGTTCGCTGTCTGAATATAACGGTTTAGATATCCAAAAGGGACCGTCATCGCGCAAATATTTTACAAGTTCGCTTCCTGTTGTTTCGGTTTTAGCAGAGTCTACAATATCATTCTGTTGTAAAGTATTAGATCCGGTAAATAGTTTCGAAACTTGACTAACAATTGTGGAAAGTAAAGACGGTGTCTCTGCCAAAACGTCCTTGTCTTTGTTCTCCAAATGGTATTGTTTTATGTCATCGCTTTCCACAATAACTAATTGTTCCTCTTCTTCTGTTGGTTTTTCCAAAGATTTTTCTTGATTGTCCGCCGGCTTTTCGATTACAATCCATTCGTCTTCCATAACATCGTTCTTACTTTTGAAAGGTGTTTCTTCATCCTCTAATCTTGGTGTTAAACTATTATCTTGCTCAATTGTTTCAGAACATTTTTCAGCTGTTATCTTTTCTACTTTTGTTAAAGTATTGTCTTGTGTAATTGTTTCAATATCTTCTTCAGCTGTTACATTTTCCATTTTAGTTAAACGATTATCTTGCTGGATTGTTTCAAAACCTTCTTCATGTGTTACATTTTCCATTTTAGTTAAACTATTATCTTGCTGGATTGTTTCAAAACCTTCTTCATGTGTTACATTTTCCATTTTTGTTAAACTATTATCTTGTTTGACTGTTTCAGAATCTTCTTCAATTTTGCTTTTATTTAATTCGATTTGTTGTTTGTTGGAATGTTTCTTTGACTTTTTCTTCTTTTTGGATTTTTCTGCAGGAATTTCCTTCACATATTCGTTTTCATCTTTGTTCTCTTTTTTCTCTACAAATACTTCAGCAGGTGTTACTCTGGAAGGTTCTTCTGCAGGATTTGTTTTATCTGTAACTTCATTCTTTTTGTGTTTCTTCTTCTGTTTCTTCTTTGAAGTTTTCTCTGTAGACTCTTTTTCGTTTGCTGATGGAGCAGATAAAGACTCGTCGATTACAAGTTCGTCTTTCTTTTGATTACTGATATCTTTAGCTGTTTCATCTGCTTTTACATACTCCTTGTCAAGTTCATCAATAATTTTCGCACGTTTTGTGACATTTTCAGCGAGTACACGAACAAGATTTTCGTTGAGATCGCTAACTAATTCATTTTGTTTTGTTACAATATTTTCTCTTGTAATTCTAACAGGCGATGACAAATTTGATAAAACTACATCTGCGTACGTTTTACCATCATTAATTGTCTCTTGTGGTTTAATTTCTACATTACTTTCTTCTAAGACTTCGTGTGTTACTTCGACGTCTGTTAAGCTAAACGTTTCTTCTTTCTTTGGAAAATCTTTATCGCTGATTTGATTTTTAGAATCGCTTACAATTACGTCTGTTGATTCTAAAGGTTTTGAAGGTAAGATTTGTATTAAATCTTTATCTTTCACTTGGTGTATTACTTCTCTTTCTTCTACACCATGTGAACGTTTAGAATCAGCAAATGGCAGTTCTAGAATTTTAACTTCTTCTACGTCAATATCGTTTTCACTTTCACTTTCTTTCCTGTCACTAGCAACTACTTCAGCATATGTTTTACCGTCACTAGACAAGGACCATACGGACTGAACTGGTGTTTCGTCAACTCTTCTATATCTGTTCAATAAGTTCGTTTCTAAAGGATTCCTTTCGGCTCTTTGAGGAGACGGTCCTGAAGATGGACGTGGAGACCTTGATCTAGATTTTCTCCTTCGTCTCTTCGACTTATGTTCTCCAACATCCTCAGGTTGCAGGAACACCCTGGATTCAATTTCAGAACTTTCATGAAATACTTTCATTGATTCGACTGTTTCTGGCGATTGTTTCGTTATTATATCAGGACTAATTACTGATTCGATTAGCGAATGTGCAACGTCTACTTCAGGATTCTCAATATCTTGTACATTTAATGGTTTATCTTCGAAGCCTGAATCATCTGGTTCGATATCTATTAAAGGAGTTTCAGTTACTTCTTTCTCTTCGGACTTGGCAGTCTGATCATCTTCAGTTGTTAAAATTATACTCGGAATTTGTTCGGCATCTTTTTCTAATTTGTCATGCGTATCCTCAGTTTGATCTGATTCAGGAACGACAATTATATTTTCATCAAAGTGCTGAACACTTTCGATGATATCATTTTCTTCGATAATATTACTAACCCAAGTACTGTGGCTGTCATAGTCAACAGGTATTTCTGATATTTGTTCGATTTGATCATCAGAAAAGGAATTGCTTTCGGTGGAATAAAATGCAGGTAAGAGAGAAGTGGATTCCTCGATATTATGTACTGGTTTACTATGAGACTGTAGATTTTCAGGAATAAATATTTCTGCATTAGGGTTTAGTTTCGATTCTATAACGATATCTGTGATTTCCGATAAAACTGTCTCTGCTTGTTCATTTTGTCGGACATTGTCAGTGTCAGGTTCTTCATTAATTATTTTGTGTTCTTCTTCGTTAACTTTTTCTAAAGCAATATTATCACTAGAAGTCAATATCTCTTTCTGAGTATTTTCTTTTATTTTTTCAGTTCTTGATTCTTCTAATTTATGTTTAGCAACTATCCAATCTTCCTCAGCTTTCTTCATACCAATGACATCGTAATTATTGGAAGCAAAACTGGTTTCATCACTTCCAAGATAGTTAAGCATCTGAGTGTAATTATCGTAGGTTTGAATAGGCGATCGTTCTTCAAAAGATATATCTTCAGGTTCTTCATCTACTTTTTCTGCAAATTTCACGTTATTTTTTTCGAGTTGTGCTAATGTTGCATAATAATCAGCTTCGGCATTAGTCATAGCTACAATATCATAATTAATTTTTGGAGTGACTTGTTTGTCTTCAATAATCTTATGGTCACTTTCTTTCGTAGCAATCACTTGTGATTTTTCTTGTTCTTGTTCTTGTTGCAAACGTTTTGTACTATTTTCATTGAGTATCTTATAGTAATTGCTTTCGGCTTGTCCGTAGCCAATTATATCATAAATTTGTTTATAATCTGAGGCCAAATTTTCATTTTCTGTCGATGCATTTTTCATATTGTCGTATTCTTTAGTGCTTATTAATTTTGACGTAACGTTATCTTCGTTTTCTTGAGTAGAAATATCGATGGTTTTGTTTTTATTTGTAGTAACCTCTTCTTTAGCTATTGTTTCAATTATACTATCAATCCTCAATTCTTCTTCTGATTCACGATGTTCTTGATTTATGTCCTCAGCCACTTTAGCTTCTTCTTTTTGTAGTTCTGTATTTATCTTTTCCAAATTATTGAATTCTACGCTTGGTTCTGACCAAGAGACCTTTTCACTTTCTAGGAAATCCGTAATCAATTGAACATCACTGTTATGAACCAATAGATCTTCTTCTGATTTAAGATGATCTTGATTTAAGTCCTTAGCCACTGTAGGTGCTTCTTTTTGTGGTTCTGCATTTGTCTTTTCCAACTTATTCAATTCTAAGCTCGGTTCTGATAAGTAAATCTTTTCATTATCTAGGAAATCCGTAGCTAATTGAATATCAGTGTTATAAGCCAAGAGATCCTCTTTAATTACAAGATCATTTGAAATGTTCATAGTTTCATCTTCTCCCATCTTTCTGTTGTCTACAGTTTTTTGGATTTCGTATTTAGACTCGGCTTTGTTGAAATCACCTACATTGTAAAAAGCCATTTTGGATTTTAGCGATTCTAACAGATAATCTTCTGAAATAACGTTTAAATTTAAATCATTGGCAGTCGGCTTTTCTTCTAATCCAATTTCTCTTTTATGTACTTCGGGAAGAACATCGTCCATTAGTTTCTCTGCAATTTGCTCATTTGTTGCTGGAATTTTTTCGCAACCGAGGGTCTTTCTGATGTCTTCTGTGATTGTGGAAATTGGTCTCTCTTCCATATCTTCGTCAGAGATAAAATCAGCTTCTGGTCGGTCTGTTACAATCAGTTTTCCTTCATTCAGTACTGTATCAGTGCTAGTCTGAGAAGTCGTCAGTTTTTCTTGTTTACTGTCAGATTCCTCGACCACTACAGTAACATTTGGATGAATAACATCCGTAATTGTTGAGCAGACACTTTCTCCCTTAAAATTGTCTTCTTTTACTTCTTGTTTGATGTTTACAATTCCTTTATCATCTCCGTCTATTATCACATTTGATTTGTTTCGTTCATCTTCATCGTCTGATATTATAATTTCCGAATTCATCCATAAATCAGTAGAATCATCAATTGGTAAACCTTTATATTCAATTTTTTCTTTTTTGTCCTTTATAGTTTCTTTTAAATTATTTGCATCGGTTTCTTCAACCTTATTTTCTACTGGTGTCGTATCTAACAGAACAGAATTTTTCACTGCTCCAGTTTTTTCTTGTTTTACTTCTACTACAGTATCTAGGGGTTTAATTTGATCATTTTCGTCATCTGATAATACAATTTCCGAATTCATCCAAAGGTCAGCAGACTCATCAATCGGTAAACCTTTATATTCAACTTTTTCCAATTTGTCTTTTACAACTTCTGTTGACCTATTTGCTTCAAGTTCTTTAACATTACTTTCTACAGAGGGAGAATCTAATAAAGTCAAAGGTTCTTCTATCTTCCCTTCTTGTCTTAATTCTGCTACAGTATCCAAAACTTTAGTTTCTTCACATTCGTCATCTGGTAGTACAATTTCCGAACTCATCCAAAGATCTGCAGAGTCATCAATTGGTGAACCTTTATATTCAATCTTCTCCAATTTATCTTTTGCTATATCTTTTGAACTGGGTGTCTCGATTTCTTTAACAGTACTTTCAACAAAAGTGGAATCTGTGAGAACGGTAGATTGTTCCACTTTCTTCTCTTCTGGTCTTAATTCCGCTACAGTGTCCAGAACATTAGTTTGTTCACTTTCGTCATCTGATAATACAATTTCTGAATTCATCCAAAGGTCTACAGAGTCATCAATTGGTAAACCTTTATATTCAACCTTCTCCAGTTTATCTTTTGCTATATCTTTTGAACTGTGTGTTTCTGTTTCTTTAACAGTACTTTCTACAAAGATTGGGTCTGTGAGAGCGACGGGCTCTTCCACTTTCTTCTGTTCTGGTCTTAATTCCGCTACAGTTTCCAACACCTTACTTTGTTCACTTTCGTCATCTGATAATACAATTTCTGAATTCATCCAAAGGTCTACAGAGTCATCAATTGGTAAACCTTTATATTCCACTTTTTCCAGTTTTGCTTCTGTTTCTTTAGCAGTACTTTCTACAAAAGTCGAGTCTGTGAGAGCCATGGATTGTTCCACTTTCTTCTCTGCTGGTTTTAATTCCGCTACAGCATCCAAAACTTTATTTTGTTCACTTTCGTCATCTGGTAGTACAATTTCCGAAGTCATCCAGAGATCCACAGACTCATCAATTGGTAAACCTTTATATTCCACTTTTTCCGGTTTATGTTTTGCTATATCTTTTGAGCTATTCGTTTCTGTTTCTTTAACAGTACTTTCTACAAAGATTGGGTCTGTGAGAGCGATGGGCTCTTCCACTTTCTTCTGTTCTGGTCTTAATTCCACTACAGTATCCAAAACATTAGATTGTTCACTTTCGTCATCTGATAATACAATTTCTGAATTCATCCAAAGGTCTGCAGAGTCATCAATTGGTAAACCTTTATATTCAACCTTTTCAGGTTTATCTTTTACAATATCTTTTGAACTCTGTGCTTCTGTATCTTTAGCAGTGCTTTCAATAAAACTGGATTCTGTGAAGGCGATGGATTCTTCCTCTTTCTTTTCTTCTGATTTTAACTCTGTTATATTGTCCAGAACTTTAGTTTGTTCAGTTTCGTCATCTGGTAAGACAATTTCTGAACTCATCCAAAGATTAGCAGATTCATCAATTGGTAAACCTTTATATTCAACCTTTTCAGGTTTATCTTTTGAACCGTTTGTTTCAGTTTCTTTAATGGGGTCTAAGAGAGCGATAGGTTCTTGTACTTTCATCTCTTCTTGTCTTAATTCCTCTACGGTATCGAAAGGCCTAATCTGTTCAACTTTATCTTCTAACAGCATTTTCTCTTCACTTTTCGTAAGTTCGGCCTTTTTTGTATGAACGATTTTTTCGAATACATCTTGAGACGACTCAACTACTTCTGTAACTGTTAATTCTGTTGTTATCATTTGGTTTTCCGCTGCAGAATCTTTTTCGTCAACTATAAGTGGCACATATTTGGATACACCATCAAGACTGTGTTTTTCATTGAAAAGAACAACATTATGTTCTTGCGTTTCTGAACTTGAAACATTTAGCGATGGATAATCGTCAATATCTACAACTTGAACGTTTTCTTCGAAAGAAACAGATTTAGATTTTGACTTTTTCTTTTTCTTTGACTTTTTGTCCTTATCGTCTTTTTTATTTTTGGATTCACTGAGGGCAATCTCCTCGACATCTGTTTTCTTTTGGGATTCTTGAAGATCACCCCCACCATCTATTTTGTGTTCAGGTTCGTCCTTAATACCTTTTTTACTTTGAGATTCAGTAAGGACATTCAATATATCCTGTACATCGTTCACTTCTACATCAACTATTGACTCTTTTCGTATGAATTCGGAACAAGATGTTTTAGAATCTATCGTCATTTGTTTATTTTTTTCGTCATAAAAGCTGCCACCGGTACACTCAACAATCGCTTCTCGTTTATTCTCTTCTTCCAATGGCAAATGAAGTCCCTTCTCGTTTTGATTTTTATTTAACTTCTTTCTTTTTCGTCTTTTGGGAAGGTTCCTTTAAGATCGGCCTTTCTTTTACTGAACCAAAGATGACTTGTTCCAAACCAATTTCTTCAAGGCTTTGTTCCTTGCTGACTGTTTCCGTTGACATCGCCGTAATTTTCGTTTCAACTTGGGTGGTTGGCTGTGGAAATTCCATTTTAACGGTCAGTGTAGGAGTCTTCTTAATCTCTTCGTGAGTTATAAGCACCACCCTGTGAGTTCTTGGCGGTAGAACAGGTGCCACTGTTTTAAAATCTACGTCCACCTGCGTTCGATCGTCGTCATTGATTGCTAAATCTTTTGGTAACTCATAATTTGATATAACGAGAGAGTCTGTCTTTATATCTTCGCTCTTTTCAATTGTAATATTGTGGGAGTCATTTTTGAGAACGGCTTCTTCAGTAACAACTTGAATGTCTGCTGCTTCTTCATCCACTGTGGACTGTTGCTTCATTTCCGTATCGATTGGTGCATCCACTTTTGGGAGAGTTGCTAAGTGTGGGTTTAAATCATCACGTGATATGACAGGTTCACTTTCTTTTTTGTTGTGTTTTCGTTTTCGTTTTTTCGCAACTTTACCACTGGTTTCTGCAACAACTGGAGAAGTGGTCTGTGCAGTGGTCTCAGTTTCAACGATTATATTTACATTTTCGTTATTTGTATCGTCAGTTCTGTTGCTACTTATATCAACAATTTGCGAACTTTGATGGCCTATATTTTCGTCTAATTCTAAGTTGGATGTATCCGGATCTTCATGAGACGTTTGGTTTTTGGCATTCTTCTTTTTCTTTTTATTTTTCTTCTTATTTCCTTGCTGCAAAACCGCTGTGTCTTCCTCTGTGTTTGTTTCTGGTACCTGACTATCTACCTTTTCGGCTTTCAGAAACTCAGTTGTTTCTTTTTCTACTGACTGTGCCTTTTCTGATTCTTCTTGTAACTGTGGCGTTTTCTCAATGGGTTTCTTTTTCTTACTTCGCTTTCTTTTTTTACTTTCTGTGTCGGAAGACAATGGGGTGATGTTAGACGTTGTGACGTCTTCTACGGTTTCGTGTTCTTCAATAGCAGTTTGCTTCTGTTGAGGTTGTATCTCCTCAAATATTAAATGCACCGGACTCTTAGTTTTTCTCTTTTCTTTTTTACTGTGTTCAAGAACAGCATGATGTTCAATGATTGATTGGTTTTCTTTGTCTGTATCGACAGGTTCAACTTGAAATCCTTTTTCTTTTGATAACTCCTTAACTTTCTTATTACTTCGTTGGATTTCTTGCAATACATTCGTTCTTTCTTCTTTAGCAGCCTTTTTTTGTCCTTTTTTATTTCTATGTTTCGACTCTTTTTCTTTTGTTTCAATTTGACTATTACCTTCCTCTCGAAGTTTTGCAACACTTTTACTTTTACTGGTCGCTTTTGCTTGCTTCGGTTCGTTCGCAATATCTTTCGACTCCTTTTCTATTTCATCATACCAATCGCTGACGATTCTGACTTCTTCTTTATCATTTGGTTGGAAGGTATCTAAAGAAGTATTTGAGAAATCGGTTATATCTAGACGATCACCACCCGTTTCTTCTACAAAAACGGGCTCTCCATGGCGACCGATCGAACTAGGATCTCTAAGATATTGCACATTGCTCTGTATATGTTTATTCCTTTTGCGAGGTCGATATTTTTCGTCATTTCTAACTCCAGAATTATCTCTTTGCGAGTCTCTAGAGTTATATTTTCTATTTCTTGTCTTGTCTTCTGTCAAAGTGGATTCCGCTCCACGATGAGAAGTACTAACGACTTTCGGTTTCTCGTGTTTATTACTTGTCGACGTAATTNGTCTGCAGAGTCATCAATTGGTAAACCTTTATATTCAACCTTTTCAGGTTTATCTTTTGAACCGTTTGTTTCAGTTTCTTTAATGGAGTCTAAGAGAGCGATAGGTTCTTGTACTTTCATCTCTTCTTGTCTTAATTCCTCTACGGTATCGAAAGGCCTAATCTGTTCAACTTTATCTTCTAACAGCATTTTCTCTTCACTTTTCGTAAGTTCGGCCTTTTTTGTATGAACGATTTTTTCGAATACATCTTGAGACGACTCAACTACTTCTGTAACTGTTAATTCTGTTGTTATCATTTGGTTTTCCGCTGCAGAATCTTTTTCGTCAACTATAAGTGGCACATATTTGGATACACCATCAAGACTGTGTTTTTCATTGAAAAGAACAACATTATGTTCTTGCGTTTCTGAACTTGAAACATTTAGCGATGGATAATCGTCAATATCTACAACTTGAACGTTTTCTTCGAAAGAAACAGATTTAGATTTTGACTTTTTCTTTTTCTTTGACTTTTTGTCCTTATCGTCTTTTTTATTTTTGGATTCACTGAGGGCAATCTCCTCGACATCTGTTTTCTTTTGGGATTCTTGAAGATCACCCCCACCATCTATTTTGTGTTCAGGTTCGTCCTTAATACCTTTTTTACTTTGAGATTCAGTAAGGACATTCAATATATCCTGTACATCGTTCACTTCTACATCAACTATTGACTCTTTTCGTATGAATTCGGAACAAGATGTTTTAGAATCTATCGTCATTTGTTTATTTTTTTCGTCATAAAAGCTGCCACCGGTACACTCAACAATCGCTTCTCGTTTATTCTCTTCTTCCAATGGCAAATGAAGTCCCTTCTCGTTTTGATTTTTATTTAACTCCTTCTTCTGTTTCTTGTCTTTCTTTTTCGTCTTTTGGGAAGGTTCCTTTAAGATCGGCCTTTCTTTTACTGAACCAAAGATGACTTGTTCCAAACCAATTTCTTCAAGGCTTTGTTCCTTGCTGACTGTTTCCGTTGACATCGCCGTAATTTTCGTTTCAACTTGGGTGGTTGGCTGTGGAAATTCCATTTTAACGGTCAGTGTAGGAGTCTTCTTAATCTCTTCGTGAGTTATAAGCACCACCCTGTGAGTTCTTGGCGGTAGAACAGGTGCCACTGTTTTAAAATCTACGTCCACCTGCGTTCGATCGTCGTCATTGATTGCTAAATCTTTTGGTAACTCATAATTTGATATAACGAGAGAGTCTGTCTTTATATCTTCGCTCTTTTCAATTGTAATATTGTGGGAGTCATTTTTGAGAACGGCTTCTTCAGTAACAACTTGAATGTCTGCTGCTTCTTCATCCACTGTGGACTGTTGCTTCATTTCCGTATCGATTGGTGCATCCACTTTTGGGAGAGTTGCTAAGTGTGGGTTTAAATCATCACGTGATATGACAGGTTCACTTTCTTTTTTGTTGTGTTTTCGTTTTCGTTTTTTCGCAACTTTACCACTGGTTTCTGCAACAACTGGAGAAGTGGTCTGTGCAGTGGTCTCAGTTTCAACGATTATATTTACATTTTCGTTATTTGTATCGTCAGTTCTGTTGCTACTTATATCAACAATTTGCGAACTTTGATGGCCTATATTTTCGTCTAATTCTAAGTTGGATGTATCCGGATCTTCATGAGACGTTTGGTTTTTGGCATTCTTCTTTTTCTTTTTATTTTTCTTCTTATTTCCTTGCTGCAAAACCGCTGTGTCTTCCTCTGTGTTTGTTTCTGGTACCTGACTATCTACCTTTTCGGCTTTCAGAAACTCAGTTGTTTCTTTTTCTACTGACTGTGCCTTTTCTGATTCTTCTTGTAACTGTGGCGTTTTCTCAATGGGTTTCTTTTTCTTACTTCGCTTTCTTTTTTTACTTTCTGTGTCGGAAGACAATGGGGTGATGTTAGACGTTGTGACGTCTTCTACGGTTTCGTGTTCTTCAATAGCAGTTTGCTTCTGTTGAGGTTGTATCTCCTCAAATATTAAATGCACCGGACTCTTAGTTTTTCTCTTTTCTTTTTTACTGTGTTCAAGAACAGCATGATGTTCAATGATTGATTGGTTTTCTTTGTCTGTATCGACAGGTTCAACTTGAAATCCTTTTTCTTTTGATAACTCCTTAACTTTCTTATTACTTCGTTGGATTTCTTGCAATACATTCGTTCTTTCTTCTTTAGTAGCCTTTTTTTGTCCTTTTTTATTTCTATGTTTCGACTCTTTTTCTTTTGTTTCAATTTGACTATTACCTTCCTCTCGAAGTTTTGCAACACTTTTACTTTTACTGGTCGCTTTTGCTTGCTTCGGTTCGTTCGCAATATCTTTCGACTCCTTTTCTATTTCATCATACCAATCGCTGACGATTCTGACTTCTTCTTTATCATTTGGTTGGAAGGTATCTAAAGAAGTATTTGAGAAATCGGTTATATCTAGACGATCACCACCCGTTTCTTCTACAAAAACGGGCTCTCCATGGCGACCGATCGGACTAGGATCTCTAAGATATTGCACATTGCTCTGTATATGTTTATTCCTTTTGCGAGGTCGATATTTTTCGTCATTTCTAACTCCAGAATTATCTCTTTGCGAGTCTCTAGAGTTATATTTTCTATTTCTTGTCTTGTCTTCTGTCAAAGTGGATTCCGCTCCACGATGAGAAGTACTAACGACTTTCGGTTTCTCGTGTTTATTACTTGTCGACGTAATTGTAGATTGCCTGGATGGCTGGAGAGTATAATTCTTATCCAATCCCTGGGATAAAATTGCGGCATACGAAGCACCACGAGCAGCCGAAACGTCGAACGGAATTCTATCGCCCGTCTCGTCCTCTTCGTTTTTCTTCGCATCGGCAATTTCTTCTTGTATAAAAAGTTCGTTGGGTTCTTGTTGTTGATATTGCGATGACACAAATATCTGAGAGACAACTGGCTCGTTATCTGTAGGATAGACCTGCGGCTGAATTATATCTGTCGGGTTGTTGTATTCCTGTGCGATGGGAAGCACACTATGATAAGTCCCTAAACCGGATTCGATAAGCTGTTGACCAGAAGCAATGAATCCTACATAATCCGGAACTGTTTGGACATAACCGTACACTCCCGCTGGAACTGTGTTTATTTGAGGTTGTTGAAACACTGGTTCACTTGGAATTTCGTATGCACCATGAGACACTTCACTTTGCGGCACACCAGAGTACGTTTGCACTGTTGTTGTTTCTACAGTCTGTTGATCAGAAATGTCTACCTCTAAAGAACGATTTTGACTTCGTTCGACACTTTCATGGTTTAAGTCTTCTAAACACTGTTGCTGTTGCTGTTGCTGTTGTTGTAGTTGTAGTTGTTGCTGATATTTCAGCCCTCTCAATACTTCTGCGTAAGTGGTTCCACCTAGGGCCCACATGGGACTGAGAGATCTTGAATGAGTCCCAGGATCTGGAGGCGAAATTGTTGAAAGTTCTGAGAGGACCGTGGTCGATCTAGTCCTTTCGTGGTGATTATCCCTGTTGTCTCTATTTTCCACTACTGTAGGTTTTGTCTTGTTCGATTGTTTTTGATCGGAAACTTTATGTTGTTCCCTTTTGTCGCTCGGCCTCTTCGAAGAACGACTTGGCCTATTGCTTCTGTTGGTGTATGGGTCAGATTTCTCTTTAGGAACATTACGTATATCAAGGACGTGTTCTTGAGGAACCCTTGTGTCTGGTTCCTTCTCAATATTTTCTTCTATCACGTTTGATGTCGGAATCGTGAATTCCTCGACAGAATCCTTGTTAACGTTTGTACTTTTTGTATGTGGACTAGTAATAGTGGTCGATGTTGTGGTAATAGTAGGGGTTACGCGATCTTTAGAAGGTGATCGAGAATTTCCGGATGCAATTTCGGCATAAGATAGTCCAACAAGAACCGTCTCTGCCGGTAGCAAAGTTGGATCGAGCTGGCGGATCTTGCCCCAAAGGAGTACCATCTGTTGCCGGAAGTCCTCCATCTGCTTTCGCAGAGCCTATCCAACGTTATATATCAGTAAAAACATCAACTCAAGTGTTTCATCGCGTAAATTTTTTTTTTTTAAGAGTGATAAACGTGAATATTTCTTATTAGTTCGGTCGTGTACTGCAAGGTAGTGGCTGCGAAAATTCTGTTTTTTTTTTTAATTTACTGTCGATGTACGTAGCATGTGTGTATGTGTGTCTGTCACTGTCGGGCGTGAAAATGAGTCAAAATAGGGTGTAGAGAGGTCGTACTTTTGTCAAGTACTTCGTCGTCGGTATGTTTTTTTTAAGTGTCTAAAAAGTCAGAGTCCGGAGTGCCCCGCTGTAAAATAACTTTGATGCGCTCGTTTCGAGAAGCAACTTTGGTTTGCAGCGCGTGCACTCTTTCACGTAAACTCTACATTTTGTTTTTTTTTTCAAGTCAGGGACCAAGAGGTAACAGGAAGCAACAGATGAAAAGAAAAAATGAAAAAAATGAGAATAACAACCAAAATCAACAAACCAGCAAATATGCGAATAATAATAATAAGTAACCAAACGCAATAAATCATCATTACCCAATAATAATTGCCCAAGTAGAAAAAGCGAAATTTCGTAAATATTAAATAATAATAATAATAATAATAGATAAATAATATGTCGCATGCAATCAAGATCCGAAAGTTAATGAAAAGTTATACGTAGATAAGTAATTATAATAATCCATTCCTGCAGGTACAATAAATAACTTAAGAGATGATGATATGGTAGGTACGTTTAAGTAATAGAATATACAATAAAAGCACTAATGAAAAGCGAACGAAAAGTCCCGCAACCAAAAGAGACACAAAAAACCAACAACAGGAAGTGGAAATGGAAACATCTTGATGTTGATCACAGCCACATCTGCAGCACCCTGTTTTATATAAAAATTATCAAAATGTTTCCAGCTACAAAGCTCATTGAAATTTTGATAACGTGAGTTAGTGTCGCGATCTGTGAATCTGTGAACTTTACATACATATATTACCGTTACGTTACGTTACGTGTGTGATTTTTTTTTTGGTAGTTAACAGAATCGATTTGTTTTTCTTTTCTACTATATTCTTGCAGCAATATGTGTTTTGTGTTTAAACGGTTTGCAATCTCTGAAAAATAACAGCAACACCTACCTGTTGTTCTTCCGCAGCCTTTTCACGATCATGGGGAAGGTAGGTAGGGGTGAGGGTAGCTCGTAACTGTTGTTCGACTTGGATAATTTGTTGGCGAAGTTGCTGCACTTCCATCTGGTATTTTTCGACTTGGTTTATTGCTTTTTCCAACAAACTTGTCTGTTTGCTAACCGTTTCGGTGAACCCTCCGAGTTCATCGAGAAGATTTTGAGCGGATTCGGTCACCGTTTCGCCACCTTCGACTCCGGAGCGGAAATGGAGCTGAATTTTAAGGATTAATCAATCAAACATCGTATTCAATTAAAAACAAATAACTCACCTGAAGTTTTTCCACAGAAATTGATATTTTGCTCCTTTGAATCTCAACGTCAGCAGTCACCTTTTCTCTGTGAGCGTGTTGGTCCCTTAGAGGCCTCTTTTTGTTCTGAGGAGCATCTAAATTGTTCTTGGTCTTTTCCAACCAGTTTCTCACTTCTTTCATCTTCTTCTCGCATTGTTCCCATTCCTCGGCCGTTTCTTGAATAAGGGAATTCTGAAATTGACGAGATTAGTTACGTTCAAAACGAGATGATGGTAAGTTCGTTACTCTTTTCAGAATTTGGGATTCCACGTCAATTTTCGCCTCTTCGGCTTCCTCCATTTTCTCCGGGAGATTTCCTACACTCGTCACGGACCCGATATATTCCAGTTCTTTGGCCATTTCGCTCAGATTTTTCGTCGCAGTTTTACAACTCTTGACAACAGACTGAAAGTTAAATTATATTTTTAGACAATGTGAACCTACTCAATATGCGACCTTTGAAGCTTACTGAATAATCGTGTAAAAATTGTTTGGCATCTTGTAACTGGTTGATTCGCAGGGGTTTCTTGAGGAAAATTTTCTTTTCGGCGACCCATTCCATGACAGCTTTGTACAATGTTAGGAAACGCTGCCAGGCGTCCATGGTCTCCCTTACTTGCTGTCGCTTTTCCTCTAAAGATGATTTTAACTTATGCATTTGATCACTGAGATCGTTGATGGTGGTCGTGATCATCCCCTTTTCTTCGTCGTTTCTAGTTTTCTCTATTATTCCATTTCCATTTTTCATTAGATTTTCCAAACGATCCATCATCGTTCCTATTTCGCTCTGGATCTCTTGAATGTATTCGTGTAGTATGTGAGGTTCCACGCTACGATCTTCGATCTTCAGTTCGGCATCTTTGAGCCAAGTCGTTAATATTGATTTGTCGGAATTGTAATCAGTTCGGACGGTTCTCGCTTTTTTGAATTCTCGTTCTTTGTCGTCCATTGTGTTCGTTAAAACTTCAGTCAACAATTCTAAATTCGTTATTTCTTTGGTCAAATCTGACGGAACTAAGTGGTGGTTTGTTTGATAATAATTTCTAATATCGGATATTACTTCCTTCGCTTTATTAATCCTCGACTTGGCGGTTTGTTGTAACGAGTTTAGTAATTTCTCAGTTGTCCCTAAATCTTCGCCGAAAACGTACAAGTTTTCAGCCTGTCTTAAAACGTCGCCGATGTCACGTTTAGCCGCGAAAATTCGCTCGAAACAACTTTCCAACTCGTTCAAATCGGACTTGGCTTTTTGCTTCTTTTCTTGTAAACTATCGAGAAGCCTACAACAAAAATTTTATCTTTGTATGAACAGAAAACAACGATTGCTGTTACAATCAATTTGGTCACGTTTAGCGTATAACTAAAGAAACATGTTTACTTGGCACTTTAACCGTATGCATTATTTTTAGATCAACGGCAAAACGTTCTGAGGAAACTGTGCCAAAATAATGTAAGAATTACACAGATGAAATTAAACTTGTCGAGTACACGTTACAACAACAGAATAAGATATTTTGTGAATCATCGTTAAAAAAGCGATCTCATTTTTTTTTTAGTGCAGACTGATTGCGTAAATTGTGTCTCTTCCATGACCAGTTTCTCTTAATTTACTGTATTTGCATGATGTACGTCGTCTTTACCGTTTTATTTTTTTTTTATGAGACGCGCACTATTTTAATCTCGAAAAATGTTAAAATAACACTGACCTTATTGCTCTAGCTTTCGAACTAGTATTACATACGACGCCCAGTCTAAATATTTTCGACTTTAAACTGTATTCGCGTTAAACAATTATTTTATTTGTTTATTAAAATATTTTTGTCACCCGTTTTACGAACGAATATCTATCGCGTATTTTTGCCCTACTAATGGGTTTTAATCTCCAGCCACCCAGCGGTTCGAAAATTCGAAAAAACAATGAACGCCAAACAGATTTTCGGATTCGATTCGATAGAAAACCTTCCTCCACCGTCTCCCAGCAAAAACGAAAATTACCGAACGGCTTTGAAATATTCTTTAAATAAATTCTTGGCAACAGCTTATTACATCAACACACAGATATAGCCGCACACATGTCTTAAAAACCGACAACAAAACATTGACAACCTACCCTTAGATATTTAAAAATTGTAAGTAGATACCACCTAAATGGTACCTACTAATTATCTTTCGTACATATTCTCTAAAATTAAATTAAGAAGTGCTTTCTAATAAGTACATGCAACGTTGTTTATGTATTTAAGTCATAAAAAAAGTCAAATAAAAGCGAGTCTGCATTAAAGACTATTTATAGTCATGACACTATTTTTTTGTGTAATTAATGGTCCCATGAGAGATTTACTTTTAAATTCCAGTAGGTAGTGCAGTTATTTCTGTAAATGTATGGACATTTCCTACAGCTACGTGTAATATACTATAGCTGATGCTTACACGTAAAAATAGAACAGTCACAGTTCAGAAATTTCGGATGGACTTACCTTTGATGAGATTCAGAAATATTCTGCAGCTTTTTTGACAAGATGTCCGCGGAGCTTTTCGACGTTTCGTTTAAAAACAAGAGGATGATCTGCGAAAGTTTGTTCACTTGTTCTTTGAGCGGTTCGAACGACCTGGCTTCAGACTCCAACATCTATTACGAAAAACACAATAAACAATTATTATATTTTAAATTATTGTTTCAATTTAAATACCTCAATTTGGTATATGACATTGGTAAGATGTTCAGCGCTTCGTACTACGAGATCTAAATGTTTGCATTTTTCTTCGGTGGTTGTGACAAGTCCTTCGAAGTTTTGCCATTGCTCTTCGAACTGTTCCCATACATCGGACAAATTCGAAAGCGTATTTTTCCGGTTCCGCAAATCAGAAACCAAATCCGACCATTCAGACGCAACTTTGGCCGTCTGTTTCTCGATTTGCTCTTTATTTCTTCGATCTGCTTGACTAGATACTTCATTTGCTCTTTCTAACAGCAAATCTAGTTCGATTTGTTGATTCTGAAATGTTTTAAAAGCTTGTTGTACCTATTTTGCATAGAAGTGGAAAACTTGGAAAATCGTTGGGAAATTACTTCGATTTTTGATTGCCCTATTAGTTGCAGTTCATGTACCTATTACTGATAAATAATATGAACGCTAACTACGCAAATATTATACAAAGTAAGTATTTGTTACAGATAAAGAAATTATCGACAAAAATGCTATTATTAGGTAGCCCAGTTTATTTTAATTGTTGTCCTTTTAAAACACACAACTTTATTTGTTGTAAATGAAAGAAAACATTTTACTTTCCTTATATATTTTTATTATTCTAACTGAATTATTAAGCAGTTGATGACGATTGAAACAAATGTTTCTTATAAGAACAAACTCACCATTTTTTAGCTAATTAAATGCGAGACATAAACACAAAATTTGTTTTTCCTTTGTAATATTTTACTTTTACTTTCTCGCAAAAACATAATAGTTATCGGTGCGTTTTTCTTGCCGGAATAAGTCACTTCGTGACAGACCAACGCGCAACAATATTCAACTGCCGATTTAATAAATTCGTCAGTTAAGTAAATGTTAATAACGTTCGCTGAGACCTTGAGTGGTTCCAATAAACTCCTGCATGTGTACGTTTTATCAATGATGTCATCATGATATCACCTTTATTTTATGGAATCTCGCAACATACCCACAAAAATTTATTCTCTTTCTCTCTTTCTACAACCTCGCTTTAGGATTATTTATTAATTAAATTATTAGTTGCGTACAATCGACGTTTATTAATTATTTATGACTGTACTCCATATTTAATTAATATTGCTGAACGAAAATCCGAGAGAATCTGACGGAAATTCTGCACATGTACGAGTGAAAAACTCGATTCTAAATTCTACGACAAAATCCCATCAATAAATGACATTAGATATCGTAAAACCAATTACCTATGCCAAAGATAAAGTTATTATTTCACCAAAGTAATAAAAATTCCATCTCTTTATATCACAAGATGATATAAATATAATTTAGTAAACGGAAAATCAATTGAACAACTTTAAACTACTTTACAACATTATTATTATCAAACTATTAACCCTCTATTCTTTCTTCTGTATTTCTTTTCTAATAGCAACGAAACCGGTAAAACTATAGGGTTGTTCGGAAAGTCATTTCGTTTTTTCCCGACAGAGGATTTAATTGTATTCTTTTGCACCCAACTTCACATTTAAGCCGTATAATTTTTATATGCTTTGAGAGCTCATATAGNTCCCTAATCTCAAAAAATGGCTTGGCGGTAAGAGATTTGCGGACAATGAAGAAGTAATCGAAGCTGTAAATGGTTATTTTGAGGAGCTTGACGAATCAGTCTATAGAGATGGCATTAATAGACTGGAAGTTCTGTTTCGTCGCCCTTTGTGGTGTTGAAACGATTATGTTGAGAAATAAAAAAAAAAAATTTTTAAAAACCTTGTTTTTCTTGGTCAGGCCGGAAACTTATCAATCCACCCTCGTAAGTATGGGCTTACCTATTCAATTTGTCCTTAATATCCCTTTCGTTGCTACCGATTGCGTCGTACAGGGATTCGTAAGCTTGTTGAAGTTCTTGTATTTGGGTCCTGATTATTTCTCTTCCTTCTGGGGACGTACTCCAGTAGGTCTTCTCTCCCAATTCGATCATGTTATTGAGCATAGAATTGACGGTGCTCCTTTGATCGATAAGCTCTTCGAAAATTTTAATAGCCTCGAGCATCGTTTCCTTTTTAGGTTCTTTCTTTATATTATCCTGACATGTGTCGTACTTGAACTGAGCGGCGGCAATCCAATCGCTACACTGTTTGTATTTTTCGTTGAAAGCTTCGTGGTCTTTGAATGCCTGTTCGCATTTCTTCGCTATTTCCTTGGCAGTGACCTGAACAGACTGAAATCTCGAAAGCATCTGCTGAATGTTAACGAACAGACGGTTCTCTCCGCTGCTCTGGACCAGTTCTGTAGAAACATCTGCAATTTTGTCAAATTCGGGCTCGTTTCTTTTTAGTTCTAGCAAAAGCGCTTGGTATTTCTCCAACTGTTCTTTCTTCTCTTCGAGTGTTGTCTTCTGGGTGTAGCTTTTGAGTGAAGATTCCACGTCTCCGAGCCAAAGTAAGAGTTTGTCCAAATTTTCTTCATACTCTCCCCACTGTTGAAGGCGTTCCTCCAAAGCGTACTTGACATCACTCAATGTGGCGATGAATTTATCCAATTCCACCTTTAAATCTGCAACTTGTCTTTTCATGGTTTCTTGTGTACGAACAGGTAAAAGGGAAATTTTATTGTCGACGTAATCTTGAATTTCCTTCAGTTTCATGTTCAATCCAGGGATTTGATTTTGAATCTCCGAAAGTTTGTCCAAACGTTCTTGCAGGGTTTGTTTGTTGCCGGAATTGTCGGTGTAGTTGGATAGTTGATCCCATAATTGTTTAAGATTATCTTGAGACGCTTTGTACATTTCGGAGAATTGTAAGTACGACTCTTGGCAATTATCAAGCTGTGCAAGTACCGCCTTGGAATTTTCAACCAATGACCGATATCTGTTATTAATCGAGTCAATATCCTTTTCGACGTTTCGTTTTTCGTTTTCCGTATTGAAGAACTTTTCTAGAATTCTTGCTTTGTCGATTGTACCTATAAAATAAAATTTGCGCATAACTTTAGCACATGTAACTTGTTGATATAACTCACTATCAATCGCCTTTCTATAAGAAACAATCTCTTGATGAATCGCTTTGTGCTTAAGTAATTTTGCTTTGACTTCATTTATTGTCACCCAAGTGGAGGTGTCTATTTGAAGAGTCTTTTCCATTGTATCAAGCCATGCTTGGACTTGTTGTAACTGCTCTTGATAACTGGATATTTGTAAAGCATGCGCATCTTGGAGTTTCTGCTGCTTTTCCAAACCTAAAGGAATTGGGATATAACACAGCAAATCGTAATAAGTGAATGCCAAACACCATCGCAACGTTTCGTAACTCTATAACTCATTCATTTATTTTATTCAAATAGGATATGATTTGTAAATGTTACGAAACATTGGAAATAATGTTTATATTATATTATTATACAAACCTTCTTCGATTTTATCCCATCTCTCCCGGACATTTCTCAAGTCGTTCCTTATTTTTTCTCTGCCTTCGGCAGCGGTATCAGGCAGAAGTTTTTCTCCAACAATAGTCAAACTGTTGAGTTTGTGCCTTCCAGTCTCTTTTTCGGACAGCAACACTTGCAATATGTTGTTCCTAATTTCCATGTTGGTGCTTTCTTCCTTCCGCTGGAGCGATTCTAAATGTTCTTCCAGCGGTTTTAGCCATGCTCGAACTTCGTTGTATTTGCTATCGTAATTGGCGTTATCGTCAACCAGCGTTTGCCATTTGTCAATGGTGTTTTTGCTTATTGCCAAGAGATTTTGATAGCGGCTTCCGGTTTGCGCTACGGCGGATTTCATTTTTGGCGCCTCACTAATTTGAAACAAGCTATGACCTTTGTCGCAGACCGATTCGATTTCTTTTTCTTTTGACGATATTTCGTCCCTCAACCGAGAGAATTTCTGCAGTTGATCGGTTTTAGTTTTTAGATTCGCTTGAAGAGGTTGATCTCTGAATTCGTACTCGATACTTTTGAACCATTCGTTTAATTTTTCCATATCGCTCTCAAATTCTTTCCATTGCTGTAACGCATTGTTTTGTTTCGAAATGACCTCGTCAAGTTTGGCGAAGTGTTTCTGTAATGAATCTTCGATTTGGCTCATTTCTGTCTTAAGTTCGTCTATTCCTGCCGGAGCTGTCGATTTAGACACACTTACAAACGTTTGTTTTAATTGTTCCAATTTATTACCCCCATCTATTTTATTAGCCTGTAGAATTTTCAGGTCTTCAATCCTTTTTCTCAGTTCTGTTTCGTCGCCCTTTGTGGTGTTGAAACTTTGCACCTTTTCCGACTCCTCGTTCAGCCACTTTTTAAATACTGCAACTTGGTTATTGTATTTTTGATGTGTTTCGACACAATCGCCCAAGTTTGAAAGAAGCTGTTCCGATTTTGTTACGATATTCTTGAACAGTTGTTTAATTGATTCGAGATAGATGTTTAACGACTTGTCTTTAGTCTGGTTGACTAGTTCTTGAGCCTTTTCGCAAACGGAGTCGACCAGTCTTTGATGGGACGTGATTTCTTGATGCATTATGGTGTGATTCTGAAGTTGCGCCTTCTTTTCTTGCAATGTTGTCTTTAGCTCCGTGTGTTGTTGTATAGCTGCTTCAACGTCCTTCAGCCATTTCGTCAGTTGTTCTTGCATAGCAGCGAAATCGGCGAATTGGATGAGACATTGATCCAATTTCAGCGCCACGCTCTGCAAATCTTCGGTGTAGCCGTCCCAAATGGTTCTCAGATTTCTAAGCTGTTGCCTTACTATTTCCCGGCCGTCGGGTGAAGTGTGTGGATATAATCGTTCTCCTCTTTCCAGTATACGCTCGAATTCTGAGCTCTTTTGGTTTCTCTCGTCTATCAATGACTTTACCGTTTGTTGTCGTTCTTGTAGTACAGCAACATCCCCAACAATATGACTTATTGATTGAATATCGTTTTGCTTCGACGTTATCCAGTTGAGCACGTGGTTGTAATCGTTATTGAATGACTTGTGCTCTGCTACGTACTGTTCGTATTTAGATATACTCTCTTTTAGATTCTTCTTAGCCGCATTGAATTTGGTAGCAAGCTGAGAAGCCTTTGAAACAAGCTCTTCCTTGATCTCTGGATAATGCGACAGCTGTGCAAAGTCGGGTTCGCGTGTCTGAAACTCCTGTTCTAATGACTTTAACTTCTCCAAGTGAGCAGCTTTTGCTTCTTCGGTGCTTTTCAAACTTTGATCCTTGATCTGCATCTCCTTCTGTTTGAACCAATCCTCCAAAGCGGAAAGCGAGTTTTCGTATTCCACCTGCTTGTCCTGGATAACTTTCAGTTTTTCTTTAGCTTCGGAACAAATGCTGATGAACTCCTTCCAAGCGTCTTCAAGTTCTTTAAATAATTTCTTTAGAGCAGGGTGTCCCGACGGTGCCGTCTGTTTCAGGACTTTCTCCAACAGTTCCTTACAATTGTTCAATAGCGCGTTGCCTTCGTTTTGATAGGCCAACAAATTATCGGCAACGGTTACTTTATAATCCGGTTTTTCTGTTCTGGTGTCGTCTATAAATATTGCAGTTTCTGATGTGAGTGCACTCATCCAATCGCTACACTTTTCTAATTCTTTCAGATAAGTTTCGTGATCGTTTACGTATATTTCTGAAGTTTGCAACTTTTGGTCGACCTTTTTCGCAAGATTCTCGTATTTCTGTAAGATTGCGTTCAATTTTGCTGTTGCTTCTTCGTCTGTTATTTGTTTTAATTTTGCCAGTAGCTGTTCGATAATGTTTTTGTGCAAAACAACGTCTTGGGCAAGACCTCGTACGGTGTGAAGTCTCTGCTTCTTCTCGGGCAAAGTCGCATCCAGATCGTCTTCATCTCCTACCTTTAGTTCTGCATCCGTGAGCCAGTTTTTCACTTGTTCCAAGCTATCGTCGAACGAATTACGTTGCAACAGCTTCGTCTCAACTTTTTTGTAGACGTCGTTAACTTCATCAATTATACTTTCCAGTTTCTTCCTCAACTCGCGCAATTCCGTACGAATGTTTTCCTTGTCTGCAGGAGTAATACCAGAGAAGAGAGCTTCTCCGTGATCCACGGCGTCGTTCAGCAGTTCTTGTCCTCTTTCCCGTTCTTTTACGAATTGTTTTAGTTCTTCTAAAGTAGACTGATTAGGTCTGGAACTCGTTGAAACTATATGCTCGTAAGATTTGACCTTAGTTTCGGCTTCTTGAAGCCACTTTTCGAACCTATCGACGCTCTGTTTGTATTGCTGAATGTAGCTTTCCAGTTCATTCAGTTTTTCCAAATAATTCGAAATAAACTTGGATAGAGCCTGAAATCGGGCAAAAATTTGTTGGCTGGCACGAGCAGTCCTGGAATTAGGCAATTGCTTCTGGATTTCTTCGTCCAAATCTTTTAATTGGTCCAAGTCCTTTTCGAATTGATTGAGTCGATTCATTGAATCTTGTATTTCCTTGATCTTGTCGTTTATGGAATCAACGGCGATACTACTAGTATTTTCTAAACGAGCAACATCTTCGATCGGTTTGAGCTTCGATGAGATGTTCTCGACCATGTGTTCGTGTTTGTCTAGAAGATTGAGGCAATTCTTTACTAACTTTTCGGCATTAGCTTGCTCGTCCTTCAGTTTTTTCAGTTCAACGGCTTGTTTGTCCTTTTCTTGGGTGAGAAGTTTTTTAGTTTCGGGCGTCTCGATTTGGCAAATTTGATTCAAAGACTCTTCTATTTCTTTCATTCGTTTGTCGCACTCCTCGAAATTTTCGGTAACACTAGTGAGCGTGTTCAATTTCATATCCAAATTGTACTTATCACTGTCTGCTTCCGGTAAGCACCATTTTATTTTCTCCCTGTGGGTGTTTATTATTCGATTTAAATTATTGCATTTCTCGTTGTACAACTTTTCGAGGAAACTTTTTAATGAGCTTTCGGCCTTTTTCGTCTGCGACAGAACGCTTTCGTATCTCTTTTTGGCCATTTGAAATTCTTTAGAGATATTACCATCGCCAACGTTACTGTACAAACTTTTTATATTGTCGATACTTTCTTCGATCTTCTGGACCTGATCGTTACAACCGCTGAGTTCTCTTTGGAGTTGTTGGCATGAGTTTAATCGGTCGAAGACATTGGGGATTTCTCCAGAAAGATCTTCGCATTTCACAGCTCTCTCTCTGTATGCCGATATCGTCTTATTGAACTCTTTAATTTGAGTACGGATCGACTTTTCTTTGTTGCTATAGTTCGAGGTGACCTCTTGGAGCTTATCAGCGTTATTCTGTACCTCCGCGAATTGTTCTTCGAGCACCTGTACTAGAGATTCAACGGTGGGAATCTGTTTAACGTTTTCGAATTCTAATAACTTTTCGTATTTATTCAAAATGTTTTGCTTGAGACTTAAGTGCGAAGGAAGTTCTTCCCTATACTTGGTCAATTTAATTTGGGCGTTTTCTATTTCGTTTGGTCTTTCGATTGCAGTTGTTAAACCGACGTTTTGTTCGTTTAACCACGCCATTAACTCGTTCTTCACCTCCTCGACGTCTTTCCAAACGATGGCCTCTGCCTCACTGGAGTGAACAACTTTAAGAATTTTCTCGTACACTTTAGACCAATACGAGTTCGCTTCGTGTATTTCCGATTTTATTTCTTGTTCTATGAGCGAATCCGGTTCGAATTTTTTAAGAATAATTTGAGCTTTTTTCTCCAATCTATCCAAATATAACTTTGACTTTTTCACCGCTTCCAATGCTCTTTTCGCATCGGCACAATTACCATTTGCTTGGATTAGATCGTACGAAGGTTTTTGAGTGCTGTAAGCGTGATCAATTGTTTCTAAATCTTTAGTTACCTTTTCTTTTTCTTCGTGGAATTCGTCAAGTAATGCCAAACTGTCGCTGTATCGCTGCTTTTCTTCTTCGACTTTTTCGCTTAGCTTTTCCCATTTCGAATCTATTTTCAAGAGTGCATTTTGTACTGTCGAAACGTTTTGAAAATCGTGCTTTATTAACGATTCGCCTTCTTTATGCAGTTTCTCTCGTAAATCTGACGACTGTGCTATCTTCTTCTGTAGATTATCCAACTGGTCTACAACCGGTTGAAAATCTTTGATGCTTGTTGCTTTTTCGATTGTTTCTTTAAGCTCTTTCTCTATTTCGTTAGATTTTTTCTCGAGTTGTTCTTGTAAATTAGTGAACGAATGACGTTGGGCTTCTAATTTTTCCACAGAACCGACTTTGTCAACGAGTAATCGTTTAACATCGGTTGCTTCGGCTTCTTCTTGATTCAATAAAACTTCTGCAGTAGTCGGAGTGCCGGTACTCTCGTCGACTATAACTATCTGCCGCGATTTGTCGTCCAGTTGACTAGTTTTCGATTTCCAATTTTCAATTTTCGATAACGTCGTGTCGACGTCTTTGATGAACTTGTTCAACTCTTCTACGTTTAAGTTTTGTTTTTTAGTTTGGTATTTCGTATGGGACAGTTGTCTCATCGTTTCCTGATGCCAATTCAACAATTCCCTCCATTTTTCTAACGAAGTCTTTTTATCTTTGAGTTTGTGCTCAACAGTCTGGTAAGTCTGAGCGATCTTGCTATAGTTTTCGTTGAGAGCGTTTGCCTCTTCGGGGCGACTTGCCAGGGACATGTCTTTAATTTCTTGGTAAATATTGTTAAACATTGTTTGTTTATCTGTGTGCTGTTGAATCAGGTCGTGAACAGTCTGTAGGGCGACGTCAACTTTGTCCGATTTAATTTCGTTGACTTGACTGACCTTGTTCTCCAGATGATTGATCCAATCTGAAAATTCTTCAATCTTATTTTGGAACTCTTGCCTGTGAAGAATTTCGTCGGAAAGTTGGTCTATTTTACTCCTCGTACTTTCGGCCGGTAC